TAATCTCACGAATTTGACACTTAACCTTTAGTAAAAACAGTTTATTTGTTTTGGATTGTGATATTTTTAATTTTAAAAACTAATTAAAAACAATAAAGCTCTTTATTCTTTATTCTTTTTCTTTTTATTGTGCTTGCTTTTTTTTGTTCTTTCTTTGTTAATTAAGCTCATCATTTTATTTTTAAATTTTGCTTTTATTATTAATTAATTAATCTTATCATTTCATATTTTTTCTTCATTTTTTCCTTCTAATAAACTATTTAATGATATATTTTTTCTTCAATATTTAAAAAGTGAAAATAAAATTGGTGCAATGGGTGCATCAGGCTTAGGTTCTGCTTTAGCAAATTGCATTAATCTCACGAATTTGACACTTGACCTTGGGTAAAAATAGTTTATTTGATTTGGATTGTGATATTTTTAATTGTAAAAACTAATTAAAAACAATAAAGCTCTTTTTTCTTTTTTTTTTATTGTGCTTGCTTTTTTTTGTTCTTTCTTTGTTAATTAAGCTCATCATTTTATTTTAAAATTTTGCTTTTATTATTAATTAATTAATCTTATCATTTCATATTTTTTCTTCATTTTTTCCTTCTAATTAACTATTTAATGATATATTTTTTCTTCAATATTTAAAAAGTTGGAATGAAATTGGTGCAATGGGTGCATCAGGCTTAGGTTCTGCTTTAGCAAATTGCATTAATCTCAAGAATTTGACACTTGACCTTCGGTAAAAATAGTTTATTTGATTTGGATTGTGATATTTTTAATTGTAAAAACTAATTAAAAACAATAAAGCTCTTTATTCTTTATTCTTTTTCTTTTTATTGTGCTTGCTTTTTTTTGTTCTTTCTTTGTTAATTAAGCTCATCATTTTATTTTAAAATTTTGCTTTTATTATTAATTAATTAATCTTATCATTTCATATTTTTTCTTCATTTTTTCCTTCTAATTAACTATTTAATGATATATTTTTTCTTCAATATTTAAAAAGTGAAAATAAAATTGGTGATGAAGGTGCATCAGGCTTAGGTTCTACTTTAGCAAATTGCATTAATCTCACGAATTTGACACTTAACCTTTAGTAAAAACAGTTTATTTGTTTTGGATTGTGATATTTTTAATTTTAAAAACTAATTAAAAACAATAAAGCTCTTTATTCTTTATTCTTTTTCTTTTTATTGTGCTTGCTTTTTTTTTGTTCTTTCTTTATTAATTAAGCTCATCATTTTATTTTTAAATTTTGCTTTTATTATTAATTAATTAATTAATCTTATCATTTCATATTTTTTCTTCATTTTTTCCTTCTAATAAACTATTTAATGATATATTTTTTCTTCAATATTTAATAAGTGAAAATAAAATTGGTGCAATGGGTGCATCAGGCTTAGGTTCTGCTTTAGCAAATTGCATTAATCTCACGAATTTGACACTTGACCTTGGGTAAAAATAGTTTATTTGATTTGGATTGTGATATTTTTAATTGTAAAAACTAATTAAAAACAATAAAGCTCTTTATTCTTTATTCTTTTTCTTTTTATTGTGCTTGCTTTTTTTTGTTCTTTCTTTGTTAATTAAGCTCATCATTTTATTTTAAAATTTTGCTTTTATTATTAATTAATTAATCTTATCATTTCATATTTTTTCTTCATTTTTTCCTTCTAATTAACTATTTAATGATATATTTTTTCTTCAATATTTAAAAAGTTGGAATGAAATTGGTGCAATGGGTGCATCAGGCTTAGGTTCTGCTTTAGCAAATTGCATTAATCTCTAGAATTTGACACTTAAACTTGGGTAAATAGAGTTTAATTATTTAGGATTGTGATATTTTAAATAAAAAAAATGAATTTTAAATAAAAAAGTTCTTTGAATTTATTTGATAGCTTTTATTTATTTTATTTTTTTTATCTTTTTTATTGAACTAATATTATTTTATTTATTAATTTAAAGAATAATTTTTAATTTAAAACTTTATTCTATTGTGATATTTATTAATAATTTACATAAATTTATTATAAAAGTAACAACTCAATAGATGAATCATAAATATTAAAAGTAATAAACAAGTGTCGTAAATCAAAAAGATTAGTTGTCTTTCTAATGATAAACAACAACTGGTGAAAAAAGGATGAATAAGTTTAAAATGTTTGAATAATATTATATATTTTATTATATAATATTTTGAAAAAAATTTAAACCTAAAATATAAATATAAATAGATTTTATTATTGATTTTATATTTTTAAATATCATTCATATTTTTGTAAGTAAATAAATTATTTATAAAAAATTAAATTTCCTTAAGCAAACTCTCTTGTTTCTCCAAAAACGATCAAACAATTTGAAACTTTTAGTGTCATATTACATCTTATTAAATTATATAAATGCCAAACTTTATATGCCAGTTATATTTTAATCTTAAATATTATCCATCAATCATATTTTTATCCTTTTTTTTATTTATCTTGTAGATGAAATGATTTAAATAAAACCTCAGGGAGAAATCAAGTTTTACTTTTTATTTTAACTTTTTTGTTTTTTATGTTTATTTTTATTTTTTTTTCTCAAATTTTTAATTTATCTTATTATCATTTTTTTCATTTTATATTTTTTAAATCATAAAATAATTGTTTTTTAAATTATCATTTATTGATTAAATAATACAAATTTGATTTTTATTCAATAATATTTAGAGTAAATTAATCAATTTAAAAGTCGTTAATCTTGAATTTAGCTTTTATAAGCTTATTTCATATCAAGAATTTATGTAATTTTTTTTTAATGTGGTATTATAAATTTTAAAATGCTTATCTTATTTTATATAAAAAAATAAAAAATCATAAAAATAAATTTTTAACTTATGTGATTATATAAAAATTAATAGCTTCTACATGTATAAATAAATACATAAATATCTCTTTAAGATATACGTAAAAGTTAATTTTTTAGTAAAAAGGATAATTAATTATATTTATTAGCTTTCAAATTTTCTTTTTATTCTTAATTTAGAACTTGACTTTAAATTGTTTAAGATTTTTAATTACTTTTTTTCAAGAAAATTTCAAACTAACAACCTTTTTCATTTTTCTTATTGTTTATAATTATAGCTTATTTAAGAGTGAGCTTTCAATATAATATCTTCGATCCTCGTTTGTGAAATTAAATGTGATTGAAGTTATATTAGAGTTTATAAATTAACTCATTAGAATTACACTTAATTCAAAACCATAATTATCATTCACTAAAATATTTAGACAGTAAATTAATTATTGTTTGTTGAGATATTTGCCTATATTTGCATATGATTCCCTTACATTTTCATTAGAAATTCCACAATATAATTGTATTGTTAGTTGCTATAAGTTAGTTTATTTTATAATATCTAAATCTTTAAAAAACTCTTACTCATTTCCGTTATTATTTTCAAGATTAAAATTTAATTTAAGTTTTTTCAAGTTTGGCATACTTAAAAGTTTTTAAGTTTTTAAATGGTAATCGCCATTTTATTCTAAATGAGAAATATAGATCTCTAGTTCTTATAAAGATTTACTTTTTATAATTTAATCAATGAAGGAAGATGTGTCGATTTCGTCATATAAAATTAGGTGTTTTAAACTTACAATATTTTCTAATTAAGAAAGTTAATAAGATAATGCTTCATTTACTTACTTTTCTAATTTACAGCCCATAATTTCAATTTTTAATTATTTGAGTGATTTTGATTATTTCAAACATTAAATAATAGCATAAAACTATTCAGAGCTTACTTTTTGACGATCAAAACTCAAAATTAGTTATTAAACATATTAATTATCTTAAAAGAAGTTAAAAAAGCTATTATATTGGCTAGCTTAAATTGTGCAGCTAATTAAAGCTATTTTAATTTTTTATGTATCTTATCCTTTAAAAAATAAAGAAAGAGATGAAGCATCAAAATCATTTAAAGAGATTCGATCCAAGCAAAAATATATTTCATTGAATTTATTAATATAATAAAAAGAGTTTCCTTCTTAACTAAATTTAATTGTTTTCAATGAATTATTGCAACTTAAATGTTTAAACAATGATAAAGATTCTTTTATTACAGAATTATTTTAAGGTATCTCAAATTCTAAATCTTAGATTTTTGAAAAGCCTTCAAAGGCACTGAATAAATATTTGATTTGTTCAGAAGACTAATTCGAATCATAAGAATAGAGTTTAAATGATTCTAATTCTTTCTTATTTTAGATAAATAAAGATAAAGATTGAATTTCGCTTTCATCAAGCAAGATGTTTGTAATATTTAAGATCATAATTTTCAAATTTTCTTCGTATTTAAATACTCCATCATACACTTTACTTTTATCTTAGAATGAAAATTTGAAATTTTTAAGTGATTTAGAGTGTTTTATGTGTTTAAATACAGTTAAACTTCTTTCTTAGTTGCTGCAATATGTTGCTTTAATGCTAAGATTTTAAATTCTAGAGTGATTGCCAAGAGAACTTAGCAAATAATTTAATTCTAAAGCTGATAAATCTTATTTACTAGACTCAAAACTAAAGGATTCTAATTTGTTTAAGCTTTAAATCACTTGAGAAAGAGATTATATTGTATTTTCATTTAAAGATTATTAGATTAAATTTATAGTAAGATGGTTTAAATCTGCGAATTTTGACAAATTTGACATAAACTAGTTAATTCCATTTTCTTAAACAAAAGTTGCCTTTTTAAAGTTTATTTCTAATTTGCTAACTTTTTCATTTACATTGATTAAGAGAGACTAAAAATCCTTTATTTTATTTGTTATAGTTAAGATCATTTTTTTTTTTTCAATTAATTTATTAATTAGAAATTGTTTAATTACAAAATAATTATTATTTTTTTAAAGTTTGTTTCTCCCATTTCTCACTTTATAAATATTTGTAAATCGAACTTTGATATATTTTTATACTAAATTCTTTTAAATTCAATGTTATTAATATTTCTTTTAATCATATTGATAAATTCTTGTAAATTATCATATTGAGAAATTTTATGGGTAAATCCTTTTAAATTCATATTGATAAATTCTAATAAATAATACCATACAAATAAATAGATGCTAATTGAGAAATTAAAAAAAATAACTCTTTTAAAGACAAATTTATAATTATTAATAAATAAATAAGAAACAATTATTTCACTTTAATTTTATTTTTAGTTAAATGTCTTTCTAAAATCAAGAGATATATATATATTTAGATAATAACATTATTTTTAGAAAATTCTTTATTTTTTTAAAAATGGGAAAAAAAATAAAATATATCATTTGATAATTTCTTATTCTGTTTTAAGATATGTATTTATATTTATATTTTTTAAAAATTCTAATAATTTTAAAATATATCAACTTTTTCGATTTTATAAAAGCTGATCCTTAACTTTTTAATCTTACTTTGATTTTTAAGAGAATCTTTGCAATTAAAACTGTGATAAAATATGTGTGGATTTATGTAATAAATTTTTTGTCTATTTTGATTGATTAACTATTGACTTTTTTCTGCTCGCTGATTAGTAAATTTTAAAAGTGTAATAGAAAATATAGTATAGAATTTTTTTTATGATTGCTAATTTTACTATTTAGTAATAACGAGAAAATTATAATTATATATTTATTTATAAATATAATTTTTAAGATTGCAATTACAAATTTTATATCTTTGGTTGATCGATCAATATTTTAGGTAATAGTGTAATTATAGCTAGCTGCTATTTGTTGAATATATTTTTTCTTAAAAAATCAAAATTTAATTACTGTCTGTGATGCTTACATTTGTAAATAGTAGGTAAAAATTTGGATATATTACTAAAGAATTGTATAGATATTATTTCTTTTGGAAAAAGCAAATATTAAGTTTTATATAAATTGAAAGAAGCTTTATAAAACAAAAACGTTAAAAAATGGAAAATTTAGCTTAGTTTTATCCAAGGTAAAATGGTAAATTATAAAGGAAAGGGAGTTTCTTCATTTCGGATGAAGTAGGAAAGAAAGTAGAAATATTTATTTAATGCAGATAATTGAAGAACGTCGACATTCTTTCAAAGAGTGATCCGTACGTTATAATGAAAGTTAAAAAAAATAGGTCGATCTTCAAGAAATAGGATGGAGAAAAAGATGATAAAAATCTTTGGATTGAATTAGGGAGAACAAATGTGATCTAAGATAATCTTAATCCTAATTTTATTGAGAGTTTTATCGTCAATTATAAATTTGAAGAGTATCAACCAGTGAAATTTGAAGTTTGGGACTATGATTCACCTTCAAGAAGCAATTTTTTAGGACAAGTAGAATGCTCCTTAGGAGAAATAGTTAAATAGCCTAACCAAATACTGGTACTTAACTTAGCTGATGATTAAGGAAAGATACAATATGATGGTTAAAAGAATCCGAAGAATGGAAAGATTATGATTAGATACGAAGAAGTATTTGAATCAAACGACATTGTTATGTTCTAACTTTCAACTTAAAAGGTTCATGTTTCAAGATTTATTTTAAACCTCTTCTTAAGAATCTATCGAAAATCAGAGAATGGATAACCTATTCTAATTTATTAATCATCTAATTCCGGAAAAAGTATGAAGAACAAAACTATTAAGTTAGAGGGTTAAAAACTTTGCAATTCAGATTATAATGTTCCTGTAGTTTTTGAAGTTTGGAATAAAGGCGTGTTCGGATCTGAAGAATTTATAGGTTACTTTGAAGCTTCTGTCAATGAGCTAAGAGATAAAATGGAAAGAATTAAAGAAGAAGGCTTGATACCTGTTCAGTTTAAGCTTAAGCAAGACAATCGAAAGAATTCGATACATACTGACAACAGCTAAATAGGAACTGTAACTTTCCATAAAACGGAAGTTATAACGCTACCTTCATTCTTAGATTATCTAAGAGGAGGAACTCAAATAAATTTAGTAATTGGAATTGATTTTACAGGTTCAAATAAGGATCCTTCTGAGAAAAATAGTTTACATCATATAGAACCTTCAAGTAATAATATGCTGAATTCTTTGTCTATTAATTCAATGAATTAATATTAGAGAGCAATATATGCAGTTGGAAAAATACTTATGGAGTATGATTAAGATAAGCTGATTCCTACATATGGTTTTGGTGCAGAAGTTGATGGAGAAGTTAGACATGCCTTTCCATTAAATAGAAGTGAATCAAACCCAGAATTATTTGGAATACAGAGTGTGCTAGATTAATACAAACAATTTTTAAGTAATCATCCTAGATTTAGTGGTCCTACATATTTCGCTCCATTAATAGAAAAGTGTATGGCTCAAGCATAGCAAAGTTTAGCAGAAAAAAAAGAAGATTATTTTGTTTTGCTTATTTTGACTGATGGTATTATTCACGATATGGAGCAAACAAAAAGGCTTATAGTAGATTGTGCAAGACTTCCAATTAGCATTATCATAGTTGGTGTAGGTGGAGCTAACTTTAAAGACATGAATGAACTAGATGGAGACGAGGGATTACAAGATTCAAGAGGAAAGCTGGCATAAAGAGATTTAGTGCAATTTGTTGAGTTTAAGAAATTTGAAGGCAATGATATCCTCTTACAAAAAGAAGTTCTACAAGAATTACCTGATTAAATCGTAGAATATTATCTATTAAGTAAAAGGCTCCCTGAAGGTTTCGAGTATTAGCCCCATATTAATTACATAGAATTCACTAGAATTATATAGGAAGAAAAATCAAATAAAATGAAATAGAGCAACTCTCCCTTTTAAATGTTTATCCATGCCATTATCATTGTTGCAATATTCATTATAATCACAAATCTTATTTTCTGATAAACTAACTAAAAAGTGTAATAAATATATAAAAGTTAAGAAACACCTTAGTCAATCTAGCAAATACTTTACAAATAAAAATATACTAACTAATTAATATATAAAATCACAATTTTGTAAATTAAAAATGAATTTTATTTATTATATTAATCAATTTTATAAATCCTATATAAAGTATGTAAATATATTTTTTATTTTACTTACAAATAAATACATTTTTTTGTTTTTTTCCTTCCATTTTTCATTATTTATATATAATTAATTTTTATGGCCTCCTCAACATTTCTTAATTATTCAACTTTAAGAGAAAAAAAGGCAATAGAATAAAATTTGTAAATTTTTTCTATGGTTTCTAATGTGGAGAGTGAGCTTTTTCTTTTTAGATTATTTTATAATTATTTACATGTTTGATGATATAAATAGAAAAATTAATTAAAACGGTATTGTATTGTTAAATTTAATTTAGCTAATATTTTATTTTACAATAATAAATATTTTTTTTAATAAAATTAATTTAAAAATATTTTTGTTTGTCTAAAAATCTTTTATTTAAAATGTAAATCTTTGTTACTATTTTTAATTATTTCCATTTGTTTGATGATATAAATAGAAAAATTAATTAATATGACATTTTATAAAAATTAAGCTAATATTTATTCAATTTAAATAATAATGAATGAATGAATATAATTGACACATAAATATATAAGCTAACGCTAAATTTAATTTAATTTTTATTTATTTATATATATATAATATCTATTATAGATAATATAATTAGTTAATTAATTAATTTTTGAATCATATTATAGACTGCAAGACTTAGCGGACTTATTATAATATGATAATAATTAATTTTTTTATGAAAAAATAAATTTAATTAAGCTAATATTCTTTCAAATTTTATAATAACTCCTTTTTTTTGAGAAAAATAAACGAAAAAATATTTTTATTTATTATGTAAATCTTTTCTTTGTTAATATTTAACTTATCTCAAAAATGTTGATTTTAAATTAACAATGTAAATTATTATTTATATCTTTATTTGAATTACTATTTTTATTTTAATTGTTTATATTTAAATTTCATCAAAAATTAATAAATAATTTTATAAATTTCAATATTTTAAACAAACTTTTTCTCATAAAAATAAATAATATTTGATAAGAGTATAAAATAAAATATCAATTTATAGAATAAAGTTTATAATAGGTTATTGAATGAAATTATAATAATTACACGTATATTTATTTGTAAATATAAAGAATATATCTTATTATTTTAATTTAAGATATTTATTAAAACCTAATAAATTCGTAACTCAAAAAATTTACAATTGAACAACAATCATATTAATAAAAGCAAAAGATTTTTAAAATGTTGGAAGAATTAGAAAAGCATATTCAAAAGGAGAAGTAACAATATAAAAATAAAAAATAGGCAATCGAAAGCAAGTTGAGTTAGATGCCTATTTCTTTAGAAAGCGAGAATAAAAACTCAAATCTCACTAGGGGATTATAAGAATCATAAATTGCATTTAAAGAGTTGTAAATGCACTCAAAAACGATTGAATAGTCTGTTTAAGAAATACAAAATATTTCACAAAGCGCGTTAATGAATTTTGAAACTTTAAAGTATAGGAAAATGAATATAGAATAAATAATAAATACTATGACAGCCTTTCAAGAGCTGAGAAGAATTCTACCTCTTTTAGATAAATGTGCAGAAACAAAAAATATAGATGAAGCAAACCGCCACATGAAAAATTATAAAACGTTTTAGCAGAATTTAATATGCGAGTTTAACAAAGTAAAAATAAATCAAGATTATTTTTTATTTTTAAATTTTGGTTTGAAATTCATTTTATTTTATTTTTGCAATTCTGTTTTTTGTTTTCTAAAAAATTTCCATAAATAGAAAGATTTTGAGTATAAAGAAGAAGTGTTTAAAAAATTAGTGGATATGGCTAAAAATGAATTTGAAGAAGCACTTAAAAAAAATGATACTGTGAGATTGCACAAATGCACAGAGCTTTCAGAGTATTTAGGATTTTCTGAGAACTCCTTGGATAGAGTTATTTCAGTATATTAAATGGAGTTAAAAGAGCAATTATAAAAAATAGAGAATGAGTTATTTGCCAAAGTTCCAACAAATTACAAGAGCAATTAAGATTTTAAAGATTACAACTTCCCATTTTCTCAGCATTATATTAATATTCTTCAAAAGTTAGCACAAGCTATTGGAACATATAAAGATAACATTTATGCTTTTTACAAGCTAGAAGGTATTTTTACTATCCTAAAAAAGCTTGTGAACGAAACAGCTGAAAGCTACATCAACAGTCTCTATAAAAAGTTATACAACTACTACGAAATAGATAAAATAAATCCTGAATATATCCATAATGCTTCTAAGCAAGTAATTATTATTCAATTTATCTGAAAATAAAATAATAATTTTAATATATCAAAAGGATGTTGATAGAGTGGATTTCTTTTGTGAAGAAGTTTCAAATATTTCCAATTAAAATGAGCATTTTAATTAGCACATTATATAAATTGTTAATGAATTGATAGAAAAGGAACCTTTGAAGCAAGAACATAAGGCTAAGTAAATGAACTTAGTCAAATAAAATGTAGTTTAAATGCAAACCAATAACAAAATGCTCGAAGTGATGGGACACTTCTTGAAATATTAAAAAAGTTATACTAAAAATTAAATTAATTAAATTATCAAAGACTCTCCTGCTTTTATCAGACTATGGAATTTTGATAAAGTTTTCTTCTTTAATTTTATAGAATCTGAAGAAAGTTTATTCAATATTTAAAAATTGCATGAATATTTAGATGAAATCTTCTTTATAATTAAAAATTGTGCTCTTAGAGCTCTTGAATCTCTAAACAAGTCAACAGCTTGTGCTATTCTCAATTTTATTTCATAATAAGTTATTCACGAAGACGTTTATTACATTAATGAAAAATTAATCTCAAAGTGGTTAAAGAGAGAAAACTTTAACACTTAAGCTATCTCATTTAATAACAGATATATTGTGCATAATACCTTTGTGACTGTGCTTTTTAATAATATTTAAATGGTAAACTCAATAACATTTAATAAATTTATTTATTAGAGATTGATTTATCAACATAAAATTAACTAATATCAATGTTAAAAATTATTGTTAATATTGTTAAACTTAAAATTTTTTATTTTAAATTGATTTTTTAGATTAATTGCTTTTCATAAAAAATAGTTGAAAACCTACATTTAGAAACTCAGCTAGCAACTTTTGTAATCAGTTTAGGAGCTGTTTCCAGATGAAGATAATGGTATGCTAATTGCTTCTATAGAAGAAATTAATGATATAAATGATTTGCGTTTTTCTGAGTTTATGAAATAAAAGATGAAAATCTTAGTTGATTAATTGAAATTAACTATAAAATCTTAGTTAGAAGATTTAAAAAATATTAATTTTACTATGAATGAGTCATAGTAATAGGAATATGAAAAGGGAAGTACTTACTCTACTGATTTAAAAATGAAATTTAGTTAATACTTAAATCAATGGAAGAATCAGTTCACTAAGGAAAATTATGAGCTTTTTATGACAGAATTTTGTTAAATGTTAGCCGAGAATTTCGAGAGAGTCATTACTGATAATAAAAAATACCACTTGATGGGCGCTTTTCTTTTGGATAAAGAAATAAGAAGTAAAAAAAGATTGATTTTGTTTGTTTTTATTTTTGGAGTGAGCAATTTATTATTTTTTTAAATAAAAGAAATTGATTAAATTTTTGGGTTAAAAAGAAAATAATTTTATTTAAAAGCGATATTTTTTTAATTTAATTTTTTTTAATTTTCTTAAAACAAAAATAGATATTGTAAATTTCTTATAGAACGTCACTCTTGCTAATGTAAAGCCTTGCTTCTAGAGACTATAAATTATTTGTGAAATTCTCAAACTAGAGAATAATTAGGAGCTATAAGAGTTTTGCACTCTTGGAACAGGTGATTTTAGTAGAGACGATATAAGAAAAATAATAAGATTAAGAACAGATTTTAAGTGAATAAAAAATAAACATTTATTAATTAATAATATTTATTTATACATTTTTTTGTGTGGTAGATTAAATGTTTTTACATTTTTTACCTACAAATGAATTCGATTGAATTTCATCTAAATAATCTTTCTAATTTAATACAAATAAATGTAATTATTAATTACTATTGATAGATTTTTTAATATTTTCCATTCAATCTTATTAAATTATTGATTCACTAAATAATATTGAAATATTTATTTGGTTTATTTTTGGGCTGAAAAAGATTTGTTATATATTTTTTTTCTATTTGATGGTTAGAAGTTCATTTATTTATTTTTTAGTTTTAGATAGAAAGAAAGATAGATAGATTGAATGTAAATTTCAAGGATATTTATTTTTAAATTAAATGGATCAAATATTTAAAATTAATACTTCATTACTTTAATAAGATGTAAGTAATATTTATATTTTAATTCAATCTATTCTTAGCTATTTCATTCAATTTATAAATAGAGTTTTATACATTAATTTATTTAGGATGTTTTATTTAAATTACTTGAATCTGATTGTTTTTCTTATTTTTTTCTACTTTTATTATTTCTCTAGAAATCATATTCTTTCTTTGTTCATATATTTATTTGTAAATTTCAATTCTCCTTTACTAAAATCATATAATTATTCATTTATTCAGTCATACATACATTCACTTTAATTACTTTATTTAATTAAAAATTGACCTATTTTTTGTTATGCCTTATTCAACCCTCTGTAAAGTCTTTATAGGTTGTACTAATTAATTAATCTTTGGTTTTTTGTGAGCTGAATAATTAATAATTATATTTTAAGTCATATTACATCCATAAAGTTAATAAAAAGTAAACAAATAAAACAAGCTGCTCAAATATCTATTTATTTATCCATTTTGTGATTTTTAAAGAGAAAGATTGACGAAATCATTTTATAGTTTTTTTCCAAGCTGCAGCATTTTTGTGGAAGATGATTAACCTCGACTCAAAATACTAAAGAGATAAGTAATTTGAAATGTCAGAGTAATACGAAAGGAAAAAATAGGAAATTGATGTTCATAAAACCATATTTTCAGCACTCAATCAAATGAAATAAAATGTGAATAAAAATTAACATTTATAGGAAAGCCTAAGAAAATATTTGCTTTCTCCAAACAACAAGATTAAAATTCATAAATTCGAAATCGAACAAATTTATTCTAAAGACAACACAAAATCTTAGCTCAAACATGCGATTCCAACGACTTCGTTGAATGCACATCGTCGCTAGATTAAAAATACCTTCAAAGCACATGATATTAAAACAGATTATGACTTTAGCGAAGAATAGCCATTCAACATCTAATCTTTAACTCATAGTTAGAATTTTACATAAGTGAATACAATTTAATAAAATAAAAATGTTAAACACAACCTTGAAAACTTTCACTCTCTTAAATATAGCTAATCTCCTACCTAAATACCATCTCATCCTAGTAGTGCTAATACAAATAAACGGTAGAGTAACTTCTTCCTTACAAGTCCTTCTCTCGCTGCAGGTAGAATATCTTTTAACTCCCTCAAATTAAAAGCTAAAGACAAAGCAAAAACTCAGGTTTCTTGTATGTCAGAAACTTAAACAGGCTCTCCTTAAAATACATCTAGACTTTAGACGACCTAGTTTAATACAAACTCATAGTAAGTGATATCAATAAATCAAGATAGACTTAATTTGGATTCAAGTAAAGCAAGTCCTTAGATATAACCATAAAATAAAGCATAAAACACCACCAATTCATTTAACTTAAGATTAATCTAAGGAAACGTATAAAACACTCAAACTTCTTCTTACTGTTTAAACACAAACCATAACAATTAAATAACATCTGAATAAGAAAACTTTTCTCTACTTTCAACGAAAAATATCCAGCTTTCATCGAGTAATTTAATTAATACTAATTAAAATCTAAACTATCCAACCAAATAATTCAAATCTATTCCAGCTTCTCCTAAAAGTAAGCAAATTTCTTAACTTCCACAATAGAATAGACACAGTGAAAATAATTAAAAACAAGCAGTTAGAGCATCTTCAGCCTAACATAAAACACTAGAAACTCTACAGATAGATGAAGATTAAAATAATTTGTATAGATTCTCATATGAAATGAATGAATAGGAAATTGAAGAAGATAATAAAACTCCACTGCTATCTGTCCCTAACATTCAAGATGCTATTAATGAAGAAAACTAAGACTTCCAAAAGAATTAAGAGGAAGAAGAATTGTTTGTAGCATAACCCCAACAATTTTATTATATTGATAATAACGAAATGTAGAGTGTAAAAGAATTCATGTATAGATTAAACAACTATATGCAGTATAAAAGATTTGAGTAGTACAGATAAGAGAAAAAATAAAAAAAGAAATAAATTGAAGATGTACAGAACTTGCTTCTCTTCAATTCTGAAAAAGCTGCCAGAGAAGTAGCAAAGGCAAATGTTAGAAAATATATAATAAAGCACAAAATTGAAATAACAGACTAGGAAATAGATGATTGGGTAGAAAGAATTAAAGTTTTACCATTGGAGAAAAATCAAAGACTTACTTTCAGAGAGTGTAGCAGATAAATAATATCCTTCTAGCTTATGGGAACAGATGAAGAAAAGAAGTTCTTCAAAGTATGGAGAGAAATTGACAAAGGCTTAAACAAAATCAGCAACCCTATTAAGTTTGCTTAGTAATATTAAATATACCAAAACCACAAAAAAAGACTCTTCTACAACAAAAATATCACTAATAATCAAATTTCTATGGCAATAATTAACTCACTTCCTTCTTAGTACTTAATACACAAACCTCCTCCTTCTTTCTTTTAATAAAATTCTTAGTCTATGAATAGAATTAGCTCTTAAAGGAGTATAGCTCATAAAGATTTAAGTCTTTATTAAATCTAACATTAGAAGGAATTTAAAGTTGTAGAATCTCTAGAAAGTGAGGAATTTTGAAAATTAATTTTCAAGAAAATAATAATCTTTAATTGTATAAAATAAATAACTTTATATTACAAAATGTTAAAATAGGTTTATTAATTAATTAATTATCCTTACTTATTAAAAATAATTTAATCAAATAAAAAAACAAAGAATAAATTTATTTCTTTTTTCATACAGTTTTTATTTTATAAAAAATATGTATGATATATATGGTATGAAATATACACCATTTTAACTTTTAAATTCTTATGAATTCTGAAATTAATTTTAGTATTTTCAAAAAAATTAAGTGCGCTTTGGCGTTAAAAACTAATGCCTGCGCACATGTGAGCTTGCCACGTGAATTACCGTATTTTTTTATTGCATCTTCAATATCAACTGTATGAATAACAAATAATTGCTGGATGATCAATTTAATTATAAATATTCTTATAATTGATTACATAGCTAAAATAGAAAAATCTACTGATGAAGATTATTTTTATAAAATTTAAGAACATTAATTAATTACTTGAATTTTTCAAATATGACTAGCTGGTCATCTCTAATTCTACGATATTTTTAAGTATATGTTTTAAGTACAAATATTAAAATTAAATCATTATGTTAAATCAATTTTTCTGTGATACCTCTTCATAAAACCAAATTTATATATGAATATTTGATAATTAATTTATATTTTATTTGTTCTTTTTATCTATTTATAATTAATTAAATTTCATAAATTGATATTCAATATTTTTGAGTAAAAATAAATGATATTAAAGATTAAAGAATATAAAAAATTAGAAGAAGTAATTATTAATTTTTTTTTTAATATAATTTAAATTTATATTTATTAATAAAAAAAGTTTATAAACTCTTCACTTTTATCTCATTAGGTTCTCCTTATTAATCTCTAGTATATTTTATTAATTAATATTAATTTTTTTATTTATTAATATTTTTTATATATTTAACATTCAATTTATTTAAATAAATTATTTTTGTTATAGAAATTATCATCATTACTTATTTATTTTTATTAAAACAAACATTATTTAGCTATCTTAACTTAATTTTCATTTTCATTTTTAATTATTTATTCATTTTTTATTATTTGATATTTTTTCTTTATTTTTTGCTATTAAAACTTACACTTAATAAAAGTAGTTTATTTGTTTTAGATTGTAATATTTTTAATAACAAAAGTTCATTTAAAACACTAAAGCTCTTTTAATTTATTTTTCTTTTTCTTTTTATTGTGATTTCATATTTTTTTTTTCATTCTTTGTTAATTTTACTAATTATTAATTAAACACATTATTTCATATTTTTCTTCATTTTTTCCTTCTAATTAATTATTTAATGATATATTTATTCTTCAATATTTAAAAAGTGGCAATTAAATTGGTGATACATACATACATACATACTCGCACATGGTTACATGCACTCGGGATAGGGGCCCTATATATAATTACTTATACATTATTATTATACGTATACCAATTTATTTATATATAATTGTGGGTAATATACTAGAAGGGAAGGGTCACCTACACCCTAATGGCATTTCTACTAATCTTCCATGATTTGACTACGCATTATGCTCGCTTCCCATTTGTATTCCAGATCTTCTGTTCAGAATGGGGCCTCCTCTTTACCTCCTATCAGATTTGGCCCTTCCCTCCTACCAAGGAGACCGCTGGTAACATTCACATTTTTACATGGAATTTTTCGAAATAAAGGGGGCGGTATAGGATTCGAACCCCCGATATCACTGCTAAGACCCTCCGACTCGCCCACTCGAGTCGCTTAGCCCTTCTAAATTGGTGATGAAGGAGCATCAGGCTTAGGTTCTGCTTTAGCAAATTGCATTAATCTCTCAAATTTGAAACTTAAACTTGGGTAAAAACAGTTTATTTGTTTTGGATTGTGATATATTTTTAATTATAAAAACTAATTAAAAACAATAAAGCTCCTTTTTCTTTTTCTTTTTCTTTTTCTTTTTATTGTTCTTGTTTTTATTTTCTTTCTATGTTAATTTAACTCATCATTTTATTTTTAAATTTTGCTTTTATTATTAATTAATCTTATTATTTCATATTAATTCTTCATTTTTTCCTTCTAATTAACTATTTAATGATATATTTTTTCTTCAATATTTAAAAAGCAACAATTAAATTGGTGATGAAGGTGTATCAGGCTTAGGTTCTGCTTTAGCAAATTGCATTAATCTCTCAAATTTAACACTTTAACTTGAGTAAAAACAGTTTATTTGTTTTGGATTGTGATATTTTTAATTATAAAAACTAATTATAAGGAATAAAGCTCTTTTTTGTTTTTCTTTTTATTGTGCTTGCTTTTTTTTGTACTTTCTTTGTTTATTTAATTCATCATTTTATTCTCAGCTATTTCTTTTATTTTCAATTAATTAATCTTATCATTTCATATTTTTCTTGATTTTTCCCTTCTAATTAACTATTTAATGAAATATTTTTTCTTCAATATTTAAAAAGAGGCAATTAAATTGGTTCATTGGGTGCATCAGGCTTAGGTTCTGCTTTAGCAAATTGCATTAATCTCTCAAATTTGACACTTGACCTTGAGTAAAAACAGTTTATTTGTTTTGGATTGTGATATTTTTAATTATAAAAACTAATTAAAAACAATAAAGCTCCTTTTTCTTTTTCTTTTTATTGTTTTTTCTTTGTTAATTTAATTCATCATTTTATTTTCAACTTTTGCTTTTATTATTAATTAATTAATCTTATTTTTCATATTATTTTCTTAATTTTTTCCTTCTAATTAACTATTTAATAATATATTTTTTCTTCAATATTTAAAAAGTGGAAATGAAATTGGTGCAATGGGTGTATCAGGTTTAGGTTCTGCATTAGCAAATTGCATTAATCTCTCAAATTTAACACTTTACCTTAAGTAAAAACTGTTTATTTGTTTTGGATTGTGATATTTTTAATTATAAAAACTAATTAAAAGCAATAAAGCTCTTTTTTGTTTTTCTTTTTATCGTGGTTGCTTTTTTTTGGTTATTTCTTTGTTAATATAACTCATAATTTTATTTTTTCAATTAATTAATCTTATTATTTCATATTTTTTCTATAATTTTTCCTTCAAATTAACTATTTAATGATATTTTTTCTTCAATATTTAAAAAGTTGTAATGAAATTGGTGCAATTGGTGCATCAGGCTTTGGTTCTGCTTTAGCAAATTGCATTAATCTCTCAAATTTGAAGCTTAAACTTATGTAAAAACAGTTTATTTATTTTGGATTGTGATATTTTTAATTATAAAAACTAATTAAAAGCAATAAAGCTCTTTTTTCTTTTTCTTTTTATTGTTCTTGCTTTTATGCTCTTTCTTTTTTAATTTAACTCATCATTTTATTTTAAATTTTTGCTTTTATTATTAATTAATTAATCTTATTATTTCATATTTTTTCTTCAATTTTTCCTTCTAATTAACTATTTAATGATATATTTTTTCTTCAATATTTAAAAAGTGGCAATTTAATTGGTGCAATGGGTGCAACAGGCTTATGTTCTGCTTTAACAAGTTGCATTAATCTCTCAAATTTAACACTTGACCTTTTGTAAAAATAGTTTATTTGTTTTGGATTGTGATATTTTTAATTATAAAAACTAATTAAAAACAATAAAGCTCTTTTTCATTTTATCGTTCTTGCTTTTCTTGTTCTTTCTTTGTTAATTTAATTAATCATTTTATTTTCAACTTTTGCTTTTATTATTAATTTAATAATCTTATTATTTAATATTTTTTCTTCATTTTTTCCTTCTAATTAACTATTTAATGATATTTTTTTATTCAATATATAAAAAGCAACAATTAAATTGGTGATGAAGGTGCATCAGGTTTAGGTTCTGCTTTAGCAAATTGTATTAATCTCTCAAATTTGGAACTTTGGCTTGGGTAAAAACAGTTTATTTGTTTTAGATTGTGATATTTTTAATTATAAAAACTAATTAAAAACAATAAAGCTCCTTTTTCTTTTTATCGTTCTTGTTTTTCTTGTTCCTTCTTGTTAATTTAATTCATCATTTTATTTTCAACTTTTGCTTTTATTATTAATTAATTAATCTTATTATTTAATTTTTTTTTTTTTTCATTTTTTCCTTCAAATTAACTATTTAATGATATATTTTTTATTCAATATTTAATAAGTAACAATTAAATTGGTGATAAAGGTGCATCAGGCTTAAGTTCTGCTTTAGCAAATTGCACTAATCTCTCAATTTTGACACTTAGCCTTAGGTAAAAATAGTTTATTTGTTTTGGATTGTGATATTTTTAATTATAAAAACTTATTATAAACAATAAAGCTCCTTTTTCCTTTTATTTTTCTTGCTTTTTTTCTTCTTTTTCTGTTTATTTAACTCATCATTTTATTTTTAATTTTTTCTTTTATTATTAATTAATTAATCTTATTATTTCATATTTTTTTTTCATTTTTTCCTTCTAATTAACTATTTAATAAAATATTTTTTCTTAAATATTTAAAAAGTATCAATTAAATTGGTGATGAATGTGCATCAGGCCTAGGCTCTGCTTTAGCAAATTGCATTAATCTCTCAAATTTGACACTTTACCTTGAGTAAAAATAGTTTATTTGTTTTGGATTGTGATATTTTTAAATATTAAAACTAATTAATAACAATAAAGTTTTTTTTTTTAAACGTTCATGCTTTTCTTGTTCTTTCTTTGTTAATTTAATCCATCATTTTATTTTCTATTTTTGCTTTTATTGTTAATTAATTAATCTTATTATTTCATATTATTTCTTCATTTTTTCTTTCTAATTAACTATTTAATGATATATTCATTCTTCAATATTTAAAAAGTTACAATTAAATTGGTGCAATGGGTGCATCAGACTTAGGTTCTGCTTTAGCAAATTGCATTAATATCTCAAATTTGACACTTTACCTTGGGTTACCACAGCTTAATTATTTTGGATCGTAATATTTTTAATTATAAAAACTAATTGAGCTTGCTTTTTTTTTGTCTTTTTCTTTGTTAATTTAACTCATAATTTTATTTTCAATTTTTGCTTTTATTATTAATTATTATTTCATATTATTTCTTCATTTTTTCCTTCTAATTAACTATTTAAGGATATATTTTTTCTTCAATATTTAAAAAGTGGCAATTAAATTGGTGATGAAGGTGTATCTGGCTTAGGTTCTGCTTTAGCAAATTGCACTAATCTCTCAATTTTGACACTTAGCCTTTTGTAAAAATAGTTTATTTGTTTTGGATTGTGATATTTTTAATTATAAAAACTAATTAAAAGCAATAAAGCTCTTTTTTGTTTTACTTTTTAATGTGATTGCTTTTTTTTTGTTCTTTCTTTGTTAATTTAACTCATCATTTTATTTTTAATTTTTACTTTTATTATTAATTAATTAAATTATTTCATTTTTTCCTTCTAATTAACTATTTAATGATATATTTTCAATATTTAAAAAGTGACAATTAAATTGGTGATGAAGGTGCATCAGGTCTAGGCTCTGCTTTAGCGAAATGCATTAATCTCTTAAATTTGACACTTTACCTTGAGTAAAAACAGTTTATTTGTTTTGAATTGTGATATTTTTAATTATAAAAACTAATTAAAAGCAATAAAGCTCTTTTTTGTTTCTCTTTATTGTGGTTGCTTTTTTTGTTCTTTCTTTGTTAATATAACTCATAATTTTATTCTCAACTATTACTTTTATTTTCAATTAATTAATCTTATTATTTCATATTATTTCTTCATTTTTTCCTTCTAACTAACTATTTAATGATATATTTTTTCTTCAATATTTAAAAAGAGGCAATTAAATTGGTGAGGAAGGTGCATCAGGCTTAGGTTCTGCTTTAGCAAATTGCATTAATCTCACAAATTTGACAGTTTCCCTTGAGTAAAAACAGTTTATTTGTTTTGGATTGTGATTTTTTAACTATAAAAATGAATATAAAACAAAAAAGGTCTATAAAATTATTTGATAGCTTTTATTTGATTTATTTTTTTATCTTTTTTATTCCACAAATTTATTTTATTTATTAATTTAAGAAATAATTTTTAATTTAAAAGTTTATTCATTTTGATATTTATTTAAAATTTAAACTAAAAAATTATAAAATTTTTAGCTCAATGAATGAATCATAAGAATTGAAAATAATAAGTAAGTATCTTAAATCAAAAAGATTAGTTGTCTTTGAGATATAATTCTTATGATATACAAGTGGCGAAAAAAGGATGAATAAATATTAAATGTTTCAATAATGTTTTATATTTTATTTTTCAATATTTTGAAAAAGTTTATTTAACCAAAAATATAAATAGATACATAGATAGATATTTAAATTTTATTATTGATTTTTTATTTATAAATGTTGTTCATATTTTTGGTGGTTAATAAATTATTTGTAAAAAATAAAAAATTTAAAAATTAAATTTACTTCAATATATTAATTCCTCTTAAGCAAGCCCTACGGTTTCTCCAAAAACGATCAAATAATTTGAAACTTTTAGTGTTAGATTATATCTTATTAAATTATATACCGTAGATTACCATATAAGTCATATAAGTCGCAAAAAAAAAGTTTGCAGAATTTTGATTTTTTATTAATTAATTTATTACTATAATTTTTTCAAATTTAACTAAATATTCATCTCTAATTCCTACTATATTTTTAAGTTAATGTTTTAAATAAAAATATTAACATGAAGTAATTAATTTTAAATTAATATTTCTGTGATATCTTTTCATAAAACCAAATAAATTAATATTTGATAATTAATTATTATATTTTATTTGTTCTTTTTATCCATTTATAATTAATTAAAATCCATAATTTGCTATTCAATATTTATTTTTGAAAAAAAAAAAAATGATATAATTGATTAAAAAATATTACAATTTAAAAGAAGTAATTATTTATTTTTTTATTAATATCATGTAAAGTTATATTTATTAATATAAAAAGTTAACAAACTCTTCAATTTTATCTTATTAGGTTCTCCATATTTATCTGAGGTATATTTTATTAATTAATATTATTATTGTTATTTATTAATATTTTTAAATATTTAACTTTCAATTTATTTAAATAAATTATTTTTATTATAGAAATTATCATCCATGATTAATTTTGATTTATATTGAAACAAATATTATTTAGCTATCTTAACTTAATTTTCATTTCAATTTTTAATTATTTAATAATCATTTATTATTTGATATTTTTTCTTCATTATTTGCTATTATAACTTGTGCTTAATAAAAACAGTTTATTTGTTTTGGATTGTAATATTTTAATAATAAAAGTTAATTTAAAACATTAAAGCTCTTTTTTTTTTTATTTTTCTTGCTTTTATTGTTCTTTCTTTGTTAATTTAACTCATCATTTTATTTTCAACTTCTGCTTTTATTATTAATTAATAAATCTTATTATTTCATATTTTTTCTTAATTTTTTCCTTTTAATTAACTATTTAATGATATATTTTTTCTTCAATATTTAAAAAGTGAGAAATAAATTGGTGATGAAGGTGCATCAGGCTTAGGCTCTTGTTTAGCAAAGTGCATTAATCTCTCAAATTTGACACTAGAACTTAAGTAAAAACATTTTATTTGTTTTGGATTGTGATATTTTTAATTATAAAAACTAATTAAAAACAATAAAGCTCCTTTTTCTATTTATTGTTCTTTCTTTATTAATTTAACTCATTATTATATTTTCAATTTTTGCTTTTATTATTAATTAATCTGATTATTTCATATTTTTTCTTAATTTTTTCCTTCTAATTAACTATTTAATGAATGATATATTTTTTCTTCAATATTTAAAAAGTTAGAATTAAATTGGTTATGAAGGTGTATCAGGCTTAGGTTCTGCTCTAGCAAATTGCATTAATCTCTCAAATTTGACACTTAATCTTTGGTAAAAATAGTTTATTTATTTTGGATTGTGATAATTTTAATTATAAAAACTAATTAAAAACAATAAAGCTCCTTTTTCTTTTTCTTTTTATTGTTCTTGCTTTTTTTGTTCTTTCTTTATTAATTTAACCCATCATTTTATTTTCAATTTTTGCTTTTATTATTAATTAATTGATCTTATTATGATATATTTTTTCTTCAATATTTAAAAAGTGGAAATCAAATTGGTGCAATGGGTGCATCAGGCTTAGGTTCTGCTTTAGCAAATTGCATTAATCTCTCAAATTTAACACTTGATCTTAGGTAAAAATAGCTTATTTGTTTTGGATTGTGATATTTTTAATTATAAAAACTAATTAAAAACAATAAAGCTCCTTTTCTTTTTCTTTTTCTTTTTATTGTTTTTGATTTTTTTGTTCTTTTTTGTTAATTTAACTCATCATTATATTTTCAAATTTTGCTTTTATTATTAACTAATTAATCTGATTATTTCATATTTTTTCTTCATTTTTTTGTTCTAATTAACTATTTAATAATATATTTTTTGTTTTATATTTAAAAAGTTACAATAAAATTGGTGCGATGGGTGCATCAGGCTTAGGTTCTGTTTTAGCAAATTGCATTAATCTCTCGAATTTGACACTTAACCTTTAGTAAAAACAGTTTATTTGTTTTGGATTGTGATATTTTTAATTATAAAAACAATAAAATTCTTTTTTATTTTTCTTTTTATTGTGCTTGCTTTTTTTTGTTATTTCTTTGTTAATTTAACTTATCATTTTATTTTCAGTTTTTATTAATTAATCTTATTTATTATTTCATATTTTTTCTTCATTTTTTTCGTTCTAATTAGCTATTTAATGATATATTTTTTATTTTATATTTAAAAAGTGGAAATGAAATTGGTGCAGAATAGAATAGAAATACTCGCACATATAAACATGCACTCAGAATACAACTTAAATATAAAATTAAATTAAATTATATTATATTATTTATATATATATATATTTTTTTTTTATCGTTATTTGTGTTTATTTATTATTGTTAAAGTTTTTGGAAAGTTTTTTTTTTTGAAATTGGTGCATTGGGTGCATCAGGCTTATGTTCTGCTTTAGCAAATTGCATTAATCTCTCAAATTTAACACTTGATCTTAGGTAAAAATAGCTTATTTGTTTTGGATTGTGATATTTTTAATTATAAAAACTAATTAAAAACAATAAAGCTCCTTTTTCTTTTTCTTTTTATTGTTCTTGCTTTTTTTGTTCTTTTTTGTTAATTTAACTCATCATTATATATTCAACTTTTGCTTTTATTATTAATTAATTAATCTTATTATTTCATATTTTTTCTTCATTTTTTTGTTCTAATTAACTATTTAATGATATATTTTTTGTTTTATATTTAAAAAGCTACAATGAAATTGGTGCGATGGGTGCATCAGCCTTAGGTTCTACTTTTGCAAATTATATTAATCTCTCAAATTTAACACTTGACCTTAGGTAAAATTAGTTTATTTGTTTTGAATTGTGATATTTTTAATTATAAAAACTAATTAAAAACAATAAAGCTCCTTTTCTATTTTTTGTTCTTTCTTTGTTAATTAAACTCATCATTTATTTTCAAATTTTGCTTTTATTATTAATTAATTAATCTGATTATTTCATATTTTTTCTTCATTTTTTTGTTCTAATTAACTATTTAATGATATTTTTTTTTGTTTAATATTTAAAAAGTTACAATAAAATTGGTGCAATGGGTGCATAAGGATTAGGTTCTACTTTAGCAAATTGCATTAATCTTTCAAATTTAACACTTGACCTTAGGTAAAATTAGTTTATTTGTTTTGGATTGTGATATTTTTAATTATAAAAACTAATTAAAAACAATAAAGCTCCTTTTTCTTTTTATTGTGCTTGCTTTTTTTTTGTTCTTTCTTTTTTTATTTAACTTATCATTTTATTCTCAGCTATTAGTTTTATTTTCAATTAATTAATCTTATTATTTCATATTTTATTTGATTTTTCCCTTCTAATTAACTATTTAATGAAATATTTTTTCTTCAATATTTAAAAAGAGGCAATTAAATTGGTGCAATGGGTACATCAGGCTTAGGTTCTGCTTTAGCAAATTGCATTAATCTCTCAAATTTAACACTTGAACTTAGGTAAAATATTTTATTTGTTTTGGATTGTGATATTTTTAATTATAAAAACTAATTAAAAACAATAAAGCTCCTTTTTCTTTTTTTTTTTTATTGTTCTTGTTTTTTTTTTGCTCTTTCTTTGTTAATTTAATTCATAATTTAATTTTCAAATTTTGCTTTTATTATTTATTAATCTTATTATTTCAATCATATTTTTTCTTCATTTTTTTCTTGTAATTAACTATTTAATGATATATTATTTGTTCAATGTTTAAAAAGTGGAATTTAAATTGGTGATGGAATGGAATGGAATTTACTCGCACATGAAACATGCACTCAGAAAACATCTTAAAAATAATTTTTTTATTTATTCATTTATTTATATATTTTTTTTATATTATTTTTATTTTATTTTTTTTATATTTATTTTTATAAATATTTTTTTTATATTTATTTTACTTTTTTTTCAATATTTAAAAAGTAAAATTTAAATTGGTCCAATGGGTGCATCAGGCTTAGGTTCTGCTTTAGCAAATTGTATTAATCTCTCGAATATAACACTTTAACTTTAGTAAAAATAGTTTATTAGTTTTGGATTGTGATATTTTTAATTTATAAAACTAATTAAAAACAATAAAGTTCTGTTTTCTTTTTATTGTTCTTGCTTTTTTTGTTCTTTCTTTGTTAATTTAACTCATCATTTTATTTTAAAATTTTGCTTTTATTATTAATTAATTAATCTTATTATTTCATATTTTTTCTTAATTTTTTCCTTCTAATTAACTATTTAATGATATATTTTTTCTTCAATATTTAAAAAGTGGAAATAATATTGGTGATAGAATAGAATAGAAATACTCGCACATATAAATATGCACTCAGAATACATCTTAATTATAATATTTTAAATTATTTATATTAATATTTTTTTTGTTTTTTATTGTTTTTTATTTTTATTTATTCATTTATTTATATTTGTGTTTAAACACATTCATTTTCTTTTTTTTTTAATAGACAATATATTTTTAAAAAGACTCTGTCAAAAAAATTAAAAAATTTGTTAAAAATTAAATCGTAGATTTAAAATTTAAGTGTAACGCGCAGCGAATTTAAAAATAAAAGTGTGTTATTCGTGAAGCCTGAGATAATTCCAACAATACCGTTGGTCTAGATTATCTTACTTAGTATCTAGATTCTTCTAAAATTATTGATTTATAGGGGTGGAGCTTCAGGAGCAGCAGCAGCAGCAGCGGCATTTACGATTTTCTCTAAGTCTTTTTTATAAAAAATTGTGTCTAGTAAAATAAAATATTGGTGATGATGGTGCATCAGGTTTAGGCTCTGCTTTAGCAAATTGCATTAATCTCTCAAATTTAACACTTGAGCTTCGGTAAAAATAGTTTATTTGTTTTGGATTGTGATATTTTTAATTATAAAAACTAATTAAAGACAATAAAGTTCTTTTTTCTTTTTATTTTTATTGTGCTTGCTTTTTTTTTATTCTATCTTTGTTAATTTAACTCATCATTTTATTTTCAAATTTTAGTTTTATTATTAATTAATTAATCTTATTATTTCATATTTTTTCTTCATTTTTTCCTTCTTATTAACTATTTAATGATATATTATTTGTTCAATATTTAAAAAGTGCATGTTAAATTGGTGATGAAGGTGCATCAGGCTTAGGTTCTGCTTTAGTAAATTGTATTAATCTCTCAAATTTGACACTTGATCTTAGGTAAAAATAGTTTATTTGTTTTGGATTGTGATATTTTTAATTATAAAAACTAATTAAAAACAAAAAAGTTCTTTTTTTTTTTATTTTTATTGCGCTTGCTTTTTTTTTATTCTTTCTTTGTTTATTTAACTCATCATTTTATTTTCAAATTTTACTTTTATTATTAATTAATTAATCTTATTATTTCATATTTTTTCTTCATTTTTTTGTTCTAATTAACTATTTAATGATATATTTTTTGTTTTATATTTAAAAAGCTACAATGAAATTGGTGCGATGGGTGCATCAGCCTTAGGTTCTGCTTTAGTAAATTACATTAATCTCTCAAATTTGACACTTAATCTTGGGTAAAAATAGTTTATTTGTTTTGGATTGTGATATTTTTAATTATAAAAACTAATTAAAAACAATAAAGCTCTATTTTCTTTTTCTTTTTATTATACTTGCTTTTTTTTGTTCTTTCTTTATTTATTGAACTCATCATTTTATTTTCAATTTTTGCTTTTATTATTAATTAATCTTATTATTTCATATTTTTTCTTCATTTTTTCTTTCTAATTAACTATTTAATGATATTTTTTTTGTTCAATATTTAAAAAGTGGAAATAAAATTGGTGAAATGGGTACATCAGGCTTAATTTCTGCTTTATCAAATTGCATTAATCTCTCAAATTTAAGACTTGGCATTAGGTAAAAAGAATTTATTTGTTTTGGTTTGTGATATTTTTAATTATAAAAATGAATATAAAGCAAAAAAGCTCTTTGAACTTTTTTGATAGCTTTAATTTGATTTATTTTTTTATCTTTTTGATTACACAAATGTATTTTATTTATTAATTTACGAAATCACTTTTAATTTAAAAGTTTATTCTATTTTGATATTTATTTAAAATTTACACTAATTTATAATAAAAGTTTTAGATCAATGAATGTATCATAAAAATTCAAAGTAATAAGGAAGTGTATTAAATCAAAAAGATTGGTTGTCTTTAAAATGATGAATTACTTGTGAAAAAAGGATGAATAAATATTTTATATTTGAAAAATATTATATATTTTTATATAATATTTTGAAAAAATTTATTTAACCTAAAATATAAATAGATAGATAGACTTTAAATTTATAAATATGTTTATATTTTTAGAAGTAATGATAATATCTATTTAATAATATTGTGTATTTTTTCATTGCATCTTCAATATCAACTGTATGTATAACAAATAATTTTTAGATGATCAATTTAATTATAAATATTCATATAATTAATTACATAGCTTAAAAGAAAAATCTACTGATGAAGATTATTTTTATAAAATTTAAGAACATTAATTAATTAATTACCAGTATTTTTCAAATATGACTAACTAGTCATCTCTAATTCCTACTATATTTTTAAGCATATGTTTTAAATACAAATATTAAGATTAAATAATTAATCTTAAATTAATTTTTCTGTGATATCTCTTCATAAAACCAAATCTTTATAATTAATTAAATTCCATAATTGCTATTCAATATTTTTTGAGTAAATATAAATGATATAATAGAATAAATATTACAATAGATTAGAAGAAGTAATTATTTATTTTTTTATTAATATAATTTAAATTTAAATATATTAATAAAAAAAGTTTATAAACTCTTCACTTTTATCTCATTAGGTTCTGCTTATTAATCTCTAGTATATTTTATTAATTAATATTATTTTTTTTATTTATTAATATTTTTTATATTTTTAACATTCAATTTATTTAAATAAATTATTTTTCTTAGAGAAATTATCATCACTACTTATTTATTTTTATTAAAACAAACATTATTTAGCTATCTTAACTTAATTTTCATTTTCATTTTTAATTATTTATTCATTTTTTATTATTTGATATTTTTTCTTTATTTTTAGCTATTAAAACTTACACTTAATAAAAGTAGTTTATTTCTTTTGGATTGTAATATTTTTAATAACAAATGTTCATTTAAAACACTAAAGCTCTTTTAATTTATTTTCCTTTTTCTTTTTTTTTTTTCATTATTTGTTAATTTTACTAATTATTAATTAAACATATTATTTAATATTTTTCTTCATTTTTTCCTTCTAATTAACTATTTAATGATATATTTTTTTTCAATATTTAAAAAGCGACAAATAAATTGGTGATGAAGGTGTATCAGGTTTATGCTCTGCTTTAGCAAATTGCATTAATCTCTCAAATTTGAAACTTTAGCTTGAGTAAAAACAGTTTATTTGTTTTGGATTGTGATCTAATTAAAAATAATAAAGCTCTTTTTTCATTTTCTTTTTATTGTTCTTGCTTTTTTGTTCTTTCTTTGTTAATTGAACTCATCATTTTATTTTCAATTTTTGCTTTTATTTTAATTAATTAATCTTATTATTTCATACTTTTACTTCATTTTTTCCTTCTAATTAACTATTTAATAATATATTTTTTCTTTAATATATAAAAAGTTACAATTAAATTGGTGCAATTGGTGCATTAAGCTTAGGCTCTGCTTTAGCAAATTGCATTAATTTCTCAAATTTGACACTTGATCTTCGGTAAAAACTGTTTATTTGTTTTGGATTGTGATATTTTTAATTATAAAAACTAATTAAAAACAATAAGGCTCCTTTTTCTTTTTCTTTTTATTGTTCTTGTTTTTATGTTTTATATTTGTTAATTTAATTCATCGTTTTATTTTCAAAATTTGCCTTTATTATTAATTAATTAATCTTATTATTTCATTTTTTCCTTCAAATTTACTATTTAATGATATATTTTTTCTTAAATATTTAAAAAGTATGAATGAAATTGGAGATGAAGGTGTATTAGGCTTAGGTTCTGCTTTAGCAAATTGCATTAATCTCTCAAATTTGACATTTGATCTTCGGTAAAAATAGTTTATTTGTTTTGGATTGTGATATTTTTTATTATAAAAACTAATTAAAAATAATAAAACACTTTTTTCTTTTTATTGTTCTTGCTTTTTTTTTGTTCTTTCTTTGTTAATTAATCTTATTTTTCATATTATTTCTTCATTTTTTCCTTCTATTTAACTATTTAATAATATATTTTTTCTTCAATATTTAAAAAGTTACAATTAAATTGGTTCAAAAGGTGCATCAGGCTTATGTTCTGCTTTAGCAAATTGCATTAATCTCTCAAATTTGACACTTGATCTTCGGTAAAAACAGTTTATTTGTTTCGGATTGTGATATTTTTAATTATAAAAACTAATTAAAAAAAATATAGATCCTATTTCTTTTTATTGTTCTTGCTTTTTTTGTTCTTTCTTTATTAATTTAATTCATCATTATATTTTCAATTTTTGATTTTATTATTAATTGATTAATCTTATTTTTCTTATTATTTCTTCATTTTTTCTTTCTAATTAACTATTTAATGGTATATTTTTTCTTCAATATTTAAAAAGTTACAATTAAATTGGTGATGAAGGTGTATAAGGCTTAGGTTCTGCTTTAGCAAATTGCATTAATCTCTCAAATTTGACACTTTACCTTAGGTAAAAACAGTTTATTTGTATTGGGTTGTGACATTTTTTATTATAAAAATTAATTAAAAACAATAAAGCTTCTTTTTCTTTTTCTTTTTCTTGCTTTTTTTGTTCTTTCTTTGTTAAATTGACTCATCATTTTATTTTCAACTCTTGCTTTTATGTTTAATTAATCTTATTATATCATATTACTTCTTAATTTTTTCCTTTTTTCTAATTAACTATTTAATGATATATTTTTTCTTTAATATTTAAAAAGTGATAATTAAATTGGTGCAATGGGTGCATCAGACTTAGGTTCTGCTTTAGCAAACTGTATTAATCTCTTAAATTTGATACTTGACCTTATGTAAAAACAGTTTATTTGTTTTGGATTGTGATATTTTTAATTATAAAAACTAATTAAAAACAATAAAGTTCCTTTTTCTTTTTGTTTTTATTGTTCTTTCTTTGTTAATTGAACTCATAATTTTATTTTCAATTTTTGCTTTTATTATTAATTAATTAATCTTATTTTTTCATATTATTATTTCATTTTTTCCTTCTAATTTACTATTTAATGATATATTTTTTCTTCAATATTTAAAAAGTTCCAATCAAATTGGTGCAATGGGTGCATCAAGATTAGGTTCTGCTTTAGCGAATTGCATTAGTCTCTCAAATTTGACACTTTACCTTAGGTAAAAACAGTTTATTTATTATGGATTGTGATATTTTTAATTATAAAAACTAATTAAAACAATAAAGTTCCTTTTTCTTTTTATTGTTCTTGCTTTTTTTGTTCTTTCTTTATTAATTTTCCTCATCATTTTATTTTTAATTTTTGTTTTATTATTAATTAATAAATCTTATTATTTTATATTTTTTCTTCATTTTTTCCTTCAAATTAACTATTTAATGATATATTTTTGCTTCAATATTTAAAAAGTTACAATTAAATTGGTGATTGAATTGAATTGAAATACTCGCACATAGATATGCACTCAGAATACATCTTATTTTAAATATATTTGTAATAGTTTACATTATTATTTTTGTTTTTTTTCTTTTTAGTGTTTATAATGTATATAAACACATTCATTTTTATAATTATTAAAGAAAAGCCTATTAGTGAGGTGGTTTGACCTCTCACTAATAAGGCAAAATGTGTTCAGGTTCGAGACCTGATTTTGGCAAAATTTATTTTGCCATTCATTTTAAAATTAAATAAATTTCATTCAAAAAATGAATGAAAAAATAAAAGGCAAACCTCATTCAAATTTGAATGAGAATGATAATATATGCCTTTTCATTCAAAAAATGAATGACAGAATATTACAATAATTTTCATTCAAATTTGAATGAAAATAAAAAAATGGTTCTGCCATTCAAAAATGAATGAAAATAAAAAATTTGCTATAAAAATATTTTATTTGTTTTGGATTGTGATATTTTTAATAATAAAAACTAATTAAAAACAATAAAGCTCCTTTTTCTTTTTATCGTTTTTTCTTTTTTAATTTAATTCATCATTTTATTTTCAATTTTTAATTTTATTATTAATTAATTAATCTTATTATATCATTTTTTTTCTTCATTTTTTCCTTCTAATTAACTATTTAATGATATATTTTTTCTACAATATTTAAAAAGTAAAAATTAAATTGGTGCAATAGGTGAATCAGGCTTAGGTTCTGCTTTAACAAATTGTATTAATCTCTCAAATTTGACACTTTACCTTGGGTAAAAACAGTTTATTTGTTTTTGACTGTGATATTTTTAATTATAAAAACTAATTAAAATCAATAAAGTTCTTTTTTCTTTTTATTATCCTTGCTTTTTTTTTTGTTCTTTTTTTGTTAATTTATCCCAACATTGAATTCTCAACTTTTATTTTCAATTAATTAATCTTATTATTTCATATTTTTTCTTCAATATTTAAAAAGTAACAATTAAATTGGTGCAATGGGTGCATCAGACTTAGGTTCTGCTTTAGCAAATTGCATTAATATCTCAAATTTGACACTTTACCTTGGGTAAAAACAGTTTATTTGTTTTGAATTGTGATATTTTTAATTATAAAAACTAATTAAAAACAATAAAGTTCTTTTTTCTTTTTCTTTTTATTATGCTTGCTTGCTTCTTTTTTTTTCTTTCTTTCTTTCTTTCTTTCTTTCTTTCTTTCTTTCTTTCTTTCTTTCTTTCTTTCTTTGTTAATTGAACTCATCATTTTATTTACAACTTTTGCTTTTATTATTAATTAAGTAATTTTATTATTACATATTATTTCTTCATTTTTTCCTTCAAATTAACTATTTAATGATATATTTTTTCTCCAATATTTAAAAAGTGATAATTAAATTGGTGATGAAGGTACATCAGGCTTAGGTTCTGCTTTAGCAAATTGCATTAATCTCTCAAATTTGACTCTTGATCTTTGGTAAAAATAGTTTATTTTTTTTGATTGTGGTATTTTTAATTATAAAAACTAATTAAAAATAATAAAGCTGCTTTTTTTTTCTATTTATCGTTCTTGCTTTTTTTGTTCTTTCTTTGTTAATTTAACACATCATTTTATTTTAAATTTTTCCTTTTATTATTAATAAATTAATCTTATTATTTCATTTTTTCATTCTAATTAACTATTTAATGATATATTTTTTCTACGTTATTAAAAAAGTGGCAATTTAATTGGTGCAATGGGTGCATCAGCCTTAGGTTCTGCATTAGCAAATTGCATTAATATCTCAAATTTGACACTTTATCTTGAGTAAAAACAGTTTATTTGTTTTAGATTGTGATATTTTTAATTATAAAAACTAGGGTTGGGAATCGATTAAAATTTTTTAGGTCGAGTTATTTTTTAATTTTTTAGGTTCTGCTTTAGCAAATTGCATTAATCTCTCAAATTTGACACTTAACCTTAGGTAAAAACAGTTTATTTGTTTTGGATTGTGGTATTTTTAATTATAAAAACTAATTAAAGACAATAAAGCTCTTTTTTCTTTTTCTTCTTATTGTGCTCGCTTTTTTTGTCTTTTTCTTTGTTAATTTAACTCATCATTTTATTTTCAACTTTTGCTTTTATTATTAATTAATTAATCTTATTTTTTCATATTATTTCTTCATTTTTTCCTTCAAATTAACCATTTAATGATATATTTTTTCTTCAATATTTAAAAAGCGGTAATTAAATTGGTGATGAAGGTACATCAGGCTTAGGTTCTGCTATAGCAAATTGCATTAATCTCTCAATTTTGACACTTAACTTTAGGTAAAAATAGTTTATTTATTTTGAATTGTGATATTTTTAATTATAAAAACTAATTAAAAACATTAAAGCTCCTTTTTCTTTTTATTGTTCTTGCTTTTTTTGTTCTTTTAACTCATCATTTTATTTTTAATTTTTTCTTTTATTACTAATTAATTAATCTTATTATTTCATTTTTTCCTTCTAATTAACAATTTAATGATATATTTTTTTTCAATATTTAAAAAGTGGCAATTAAATTGGTGCAATGGGTGCATCAGGCTTAGGTTCAGCTTTAGCAAATTGCATTAATCTCTCAAATTTGACACTTTATCTTGAGTAAAAACAGTTTATTTGTTTTGGATTGTGATATTTTTAATTATAAAAACTAATTAAAAGCAATAAAACTCTTTTTTGTTTTTCTTTTTATTGTGCTTGCTTTTTTTTTTGTTCTTTCTTTGTTAATTTAACTCATCATTTTATTTTTCAATTAATTAATCTTATTATTTCATATTTTTTCTTCATTTCTTCCTTCTAATTAATTATTTAATGATATATTTTTCTTCGATATTTAAAAAGTAACAATTAAATTGATTATGAAGGTGCATCAGGCCTAGGCTCTGCTTTAGCAAATTGCATTAATCTCTCAAATTTGGAAGTTTGGCTTGAGTAAAAACAGTTTATTTGTTTTGGATTGTGATTTTTTAAATATAAAAATGAATATAAAACAAAAAAGCTCAATAAATTTATTTGATAGCTTTTACTTTATTTATTTTTTATCTTTTTTATTCCACAAATTTATTTTATTTATTAATTTAAGAAATAATTTTTAATATAAAAGTTTATTCATTTTATATTTATTTAAAATTTAAACTAATCTATTATAAAATTTTTAGCTCAATCAATGATGCATAAGAATTGAAAATAATAAACAAGTATCTTAAATCAAAAAGATTAGTTGTCTTTGAGATATAATACTTATGATAAACAAGTGGCGAAAAAAGGATGAATAAATATTAAATGTTTGAATAATGTTTTATATTTTATTTTTCAATATTTAGAAAAAGTTTATTTAACCAAAAATATAAATAGATACACAGATAGATATTTAAATTTTATTATTGATTTTTTATTTATAAATATTGTTCATATTTTTGGAAGTAAATAAATTATTTATAAAAATAAAAAAATTTAAAAATTAAATTTACATAACAAAATCATGAAAATATATTTTATATTTTATATAATTGCCCTCCTTTTTTAAATCTTAAAATATTCCATTGTGCCCTCATTTTACAAATTAAATTTGATTCATTAATACATATAAAAAAATTAAAAAATATTTTTTATATTTACTTTTAAAACCTAATGGCTACGTGCTGTTTAGCAGCAATAGCTATTTTTTAAAATAGCAAAGTGCTATATACAATTATTTGATATTATAAATTTTCATATAAAGCATACTTAAAGACAGACTTTTCTAAAATTAATGATTTTATTTGCAATATAACAAATAATTAAATTTATTATTCTACTTTAAATTATTATTTGATGAGTTCTATTATACAAGACGAGATCATTTCTATTTGATTAATATCTTAGCTAAATAGAAAGGCAGATAATATATTTAATTTGAAACCTCAAAAATTATCTCTATAATAATAGATAAAAAAATAAATAAATAAATAATCTCTTTCTTATTAACTAAAATAGAAATGTATTTAAAATGGTTTTTTTTATCATACTTTTAACATCAATAATTATTTGGTTATTTAAGATTGTTTTTTGTTTAGGAAAATAATCTCTTAATTTAGTCCATATGTTAAATAAATAAATAATTTATAATATAATTAATGGTTATTAGAAAATAATAAAAGTCATATATCCTAATTAATTGTTAGCTGTGATTTAATTGTATTTTTTTATTATTTCATTTGGAAGGAATTGAAAATATAGTTTTATTAACAACATTATTTATGAGGACATTAAGTAATTTAATCATTACCACTTATTTATATTTTACTAATTTTAAGAATATAAAAAGTAATAAATACTTATTTATTAAATTAATTAATTAATTGATCTATCGCTTTAATTGATTATGATAAATCAGCAGATTCTTCAAGAAATACCTATTTCAAATATTGAAGTTGCTGAAATTCCTCTCAAGTAATTTAGCTAAAGAAAAATATTTAGTCAAGATGCGCCCAAGAAGAAAAATAATAAGTATTAAATAGTTCTTTCCAGACATCAAAAAAAGGATTAAAGTTTATTTACTGAGCCTTCCAAAGTGAAGAGTGTCAGATTTAAGGAGGAGATTGAAATTATAGATGGAGATATTTTATATAATCATGAGCAAACAACAGCTTAGCTTGTATAAAGAGAAGAAGAAAAAGCTCCTGTTCCATCAATCCTGTTTCCTGTCAATAAAATCAGCTTTCCTATAAGTATGGATTAAGTTAGATAATAAATTGATAGTGATCTTCTTTTATCATTCTAAAAATAAACTAAAAATATACAAACTCCTCCTGAAATCCCAAAAAGATTTTAAAGTGTCAGCAGACAAGAAAGAGATAAAAAAGCTAATCGCTTAAATAATGCGTTTGATCCTTGGAACGTCAATTATACATTTGCACCCGTATCAAATAGGTCTTCTTCTTCATAAACTTCTTCAGCATAGCATAATCTGAAAAGCCAAAACAATTCTTATCAATATATATAGGAATATAGTGAATAGTATTCTTATAGAAGCTTTTATAAAGTAAGCACAAATTCCTCTAATAATAACATAAATTCATCTCTAACTAGACCTAAAACGAATCAGAAATCACCAAATGATAATTTAAACAATCATTATCCTATTTCAAACACAACACCAATAGAATAATTAGTTGTCTAATCTACTAAAAATTCATATAAAACAAACTTCTCATTTACAGAAACTGCTAGCAATTATAAAAATTTTGCTCCTTCGATTTCAAATACTCCAACTAAGATTTATAATTAAAACCGCTTAGAGTATGTAGAATAAGACAATACTGATAATCTGCCTTAAATATATAGAGTGGCTTTCAATTCAAAAGCAACAACCCCAATAAATAGTAATAATTGTTCTACAAAAGCATCATCATAAATGACTAACAACTCTATAATAATTCATAAAGACGAAGATTAGCAGCAACTTGGAGAAATGCTTAATCAGCTTAAAAATCATATTATCCTCAAAAAATAATAAAATTAAATTAAAACCAAAAGTAAGTCCCCAAGGAGACTTAAAAGACTATCAATTGATATAAGTAGCTAGCAGGTAAAAGACAATAATAAAACATAATAAAAATTTTAAACCACAGCATATAAATAAAGCAATGAATAGAAACCAAATAAAATGATACCTGATCAAATAAAAAATTCACTTTTTAAAAAAATTGCAGAATAAAGATTATAAAAATAAAATGAAGAATGAACAAAAATATTTTATTTATTTATATTTAAAAATAAAAATTGTTAATAAACAATATGATTAAAATAAATTTATTTATTTATTTATTTATTGATGAATTGATTTTAAAAGTAAAAATGATTCATCATCCATTTTAAAATTTAAATTTTATAGAGTTATAATTTATAAATATTTTTTAGTTATTTTTAATTATGTTAAATAAAAATAAATATCTTATAAAATTGATATAATTTATAATTAATTAAATTTATTAGGAAGGTAGGGATCGAAAAAATAATCTATTTTTACTTTAAAAATATTGAAAATAAAATTTTAATATTTTTAAATTAATAAAAATATATGTAAAAAAGTAAATCAATTTCTAATAAAATAAAATAATTTAAAGAAAAATATTATTTTGCTAAATTGTTAAATTTGTTTGTTGAATTAATATTGTCAATTAATTAAAAAAATGAATTTTTATTTATAAATTAAATCAAATAATAAATATAAATAATAGGAAAAGTACGAGTAAAATAGGATAATAATATAATAAATTTAATGATTAAAAATTAAATATATCAACTTGATATTGTATTTTTTTCATCTAATTTTTATGATTCAAATTATTAAAGAGTTTCTTTATTATTGTCTGTCCACCAGTCGTTTGAATTTAACAAATCTTTGCTCATTTCAATAATTTTATAAAAGTTATCCTTTGCAGCATCTTATTCACTGATTATTTTTTCAGCTCTTTTTGATAATTAATATTTAATTTACTTTTTAGAATTCAAAATATTTTACCTCATTTTGGCATTCTACAATAAACTTAAGAATTTAACTTCTTCTGAGGATAAGTCAGGATGCCATATATCAACTATTAAAACTATTCTGGTTTCATCACCATCATGCCAAGCCTAAGCATTATTATTTTAAATACAATATTTTATTAAAAATAAATTTACTTCATGCTCAAAAGAATCATCAAAGACATAGCATTTTCCTTCTTCTTAATTTAATGTTATGTCTCCAGCTCTGAGTCTACTGTTTTTAACACCAAGGATGGGCATATGGAATCTAAGCTTTTTATTAGTAGGTCCATGGTGCTTCATAATATGAGTGCCTGGTGTGACTGCTGAAAAGAATGCGTGATGATAATGTCTAGGGAATATATTTTCAATTATTTCTATAGTTTTTGGTACTTTTTTACAATTTTCTTCAAATTTAATATTGTGTAAAAATAGATAAAAGACATTCCAATCTCCAGAATCATTTGATTTTCTTCCTACTCCATCTTTTGCTTTTATATCTGAAGTCCAAGATGGTCCTCTGTAAGGTTAGAATCCTTTTTGATTTCTCAAAGAAAGTAATTCCTACTTGATAACTTCGTAATTGTCTTAAATTTTTTATATCCAAGGCAAGTTCTAAGAATCCCAGAAAGGATAGGCTCTGAGCCCAGGTATTACTTCAGGGCATCCTCTTTATTATGCTGGGCAGTCAGCTGGTTTATTTACTCCATTTAATTTATTCATGAGCCATTCTCTAATTCTAGCAACTGATGGCTTTCCTACAGCTATGTTTTAAATAAAAAAGTTCTAAGATTCTTAAATAACAAAATTTTCAATTCTTTACCAACATTTTCTCTTAAAAATTTGGCAACTGCGAACTTCTAAAAGTCAGTTAGATAATAATCATTGTAAAAGTCTTCTAGCCTTTTATTTATTTATTTTAAGTATTTTTAAAAATTTTAAATGGCGCATATCATTAATATCACTTTTGATTGACCAATTTATCCTTTTCTGAAACCTCTTATTTGCTGCTATCCTCTTCATCATCGCTTTGATGCTTATCTTAATCAGCATTTTCAACTATTTTCTAACCAGAGTTTATTTCTTCAACCTAGTTTAGCTAGTTCTACTATTCTTTAACAATCTCTTCCATATTTCTTAAATTTAATTATTAATTTTTTTAAAATTACGCGAATTAATTTTTGAAATTTAGAAAGGATCAGAAAATTTTAAGGTATAAAAAGTAAGTAATTTTTAAAAAAAAGAGTTCAAGCAATTTTTAAATCATTAATTAAATTGTAAAGATATTAAACAAAAAAAATATCTGATAAATATTTACTTAAATTATCCAAAATAAACTAAAAAAAGATTCACCTATTAAAGAAGAACATTTCTAAAATGTTAAGAAATATAATTGAATTTAATTTATAAAAAAATATTTTTATTCAATTTAAATTTATTACAACAAAAAAATTATTTAATAATAACAAAGCAAAATTTTGACTCTTTTCATTTCTGTTTATTCAAACTTTAGAGAAATAATTAAAGCTGGTGTAAACCTTATTTGTTGATTCATCATATTCGAGCATTTTTTTAATTTGAAGAAAAACGGTAAAGCCAAAAATAAAATTTTGCATTTTAGGAAAGCAGACATATAATTTATGGTTGACATAATTCACTGTGTGTTCTACACCTAGGTAATCATAGAGGGTTTTTAATATTTCCTTAGCTTCTAATGGGTCATAGGTATTTTTGATTTCAAAATGATCATAATTAAAGCCTTATTAAGCCTTATTCTTAAACGAAAATAAAATTGTTATTGGTGTGATTAGATTTTCGATTTTGTACCAACTTTTTTCTTTATCTATTTTCAAAATAGTGAAGTTGTAGAGATTACCTATATACTCCATATCAATATTGTTTTCCCTGAAAGTTTTAACGACAGCATCCTTGAAAGATATTCTGTGTTAGCCATCAATTTTATAAACGATAAATGTATTTTTTGAATTTAGTTAACTAAACAGGCTTACATATTTTTTCATAATAGAGGTGTTTAAGAAATCTTAGAATGAAACATTTGTTTCTGAATCCAAAAATTACTTTAATATTTAGAATCTCCAAGCACTAAGTTAGCCAAATAAATGATTCTACAAAAATTATTCTTTGTTTTTCTATTTTAATTTAGATAATTGCTTATTGTTTTAATCAGCAAAATTCTAGACCTAAGGATAATTTTCATCTACTGAATTGTTCTTCTTATCAAAAATACTAAGACAGCCTTCTTAGTTGTTCTTCTGCTATTGCTAATAACTTTTTGCAAAATTGTTGGTTCTTTTGAGGATAAATTCAGAATTTTAATTATATCTATTTGAATGCTCATTTGATTTTGCCAGTCTCTCATTATCATAAAATTATTTTTTTTCTGCCAATTAGCAATCGTCACTGTACCTTTTTTTAGCTAATAAATTTTTATATTAATAATCGAATCAAATTACAAAAAAAAAATATTTTTCCTTTTAAAAATTAAAAATTTGATTTTAATTTGATAAACAAAAAAAATAAAAACCTTCAAACTCAACTGTTTTTTTAATTGGACTTATATCATAATGCTTAACTAAGAGTTATAAATGTTATCTATATTCCTAAGGACAAAAAGTATCATTAAACTCCAAATAATCATATAAGTTAGGCTCATCTGTTTCACTAGCTCTCATTTCTTTTAGTTTAGAAACCTACTCGCTCTTAAGTTTCTGATTTAAATTAGTATTTCTTATGTTGTATTGTTTTTCTTAGTTTTTATACACATAAAATATTTCCTAAGCCTTTCTGGGATTTATTGTTATGGTGATAATATAATCACTTTTACAGACTTCTCTGTAAGCACACTTGAATTAGTTGACAACACTCAACAGTTTGATTTAATGGCTTGGCTTTGGATGAACTTCAAGGAATATTTTATTCAAATATCCTATTACATTCTAATCATATAATTCCTTAAGTGAGATAGGCACAACTAATTTTAATAAAGTAGAAATAAATACTCTTTTTTTTATTTTTAAATCAGTTTACTTTTATGAGAGAGATTGTGGATTCCAAAAAACATTATTCCTCCTCTGCAGTTAGCCAGTGAGCAGATTGAATTTTTTATCAAATCAGTGTACTTAAAAATATGACCATTGCTAAAAGAAAAAAAGCAGAATTTATCTTTCTCTTCATCTAAAAAATAAAACAAATAAAGAATTACTTTGTAAATAAGAATTAAAAAAAATTACCTTCATTAAACTTAACTTGCTCTCTGAAAAAGAAGAATTATCTCTCACTTAGTTATTTTAAAGGCTCACAAAAATACTCTTAACTTTGCAAGAACATTTCTCTAAGTTGTGTGAGATTGTTTTGCTCTTTAAAAGTTAGGTAATCAAAGAAGCGAAGTTATTTGGTGTCCTCATTGATTTTAAGTTCTGATAATAGCTACGAATTTAAAGCTTAATCGATAATGGAAACAATTTCTTCAATGGAACTCTAAATCTATTCTTTACTTTTTGGGTTGAAAAGCTTTTACAAATAGATTGTATATATTTCTTCAATAATTTTATCATAATAACTCATAAATACTTATCTTTGTTTAAAGTATTCTTCAAGCTCTTTCTCTTCGAAAAATTCGTGGCAAGACTTGCTGTTCATGATGAAGAAGTGTTTAGTTTTTAATGCTAACATATTTTTTATTTCCAAATAGAGCTCTTTTGGCAAAGGACTGCTTTCATTCAAATAATTTCTGATTCTTGTTTCTATAGTGACTCCTAATACTTCGAGCATTTTAAGCATCACATTAGCATATTCTTCATCCGAAATGTCCTTAACTATGTTATCAAAATTTATGCTAACACTTTTTTTACCAGTTGTAGTTGAGAGCTTCTATTGTAAATTGATAGTTAAACTTTCACCAACATCTTGTTATATTTCGTCTTCATTCATAAAATCAGTTTCAATTTAGATGTCAAAGAAGTAGGGCTGATGGAGATTAGTATACTTCAAAAGTTTTTATCTCAGCAAGCTTGGGTTAGAAGAAAACTGATCAACTAAGTATTTAAGAGAGTAAATGTTCGTCTTACAAAATAGGTTTCCAACAGGTTGCTTAATTTAGTTAAAATTTAAAAGGCCTAGTGTTATTTCTTGATCTTCTGCTTTTCTCTTCATCTTATACAAAAAAGGCTTATTGCTCTAAAATTAGATTAACTTTTTAATTTATATAAAATCAATAAATTACAAAATCTTAATTTTTGATCAAAATTTTAAACCAATTACTGATATCTTCTAAGCTAATTTATTTTTTTAGCTTGAAAAAGATTTGCTTAGCGAGAAAATTTAAATTTTATTACAATCTTTGTTTAAGTTCTACCTAACTTAATAGCACTTAGCTCAAAAAAATTATTCAAAAAAATTAATTCCCTTTTAAAAATAAACACATATTTAATACATGAATATTTTTAATATAAAGTTTTTAAATAAATGATTTAAACAAATCAATACAAATTGCATGAAAGCATTCAAAAAAATTCACATAATTTTAAAGATTGATTTTTAAAATAAAAATAGATTTTTTTAATTTGTTTTAAAAAACAATTTTTCTATCAATTTATTTTTAACAAAAAAGATTTTAAAATTTATTTTTAACAAAAAAGATTTTAAAATTTATTTTTATCAAAAAAGATTTAAAAATTTTATTTTCAAAACAAAAGAATTTGATTTATTAATTTTTTTAAAATAAATAAGAGTTTAATTTCTCAATAGAATAAAAATCAAGCTAAATTTTGTATTTAGCTAGTTAATTAAAATAAATAAGTCTTTAAGTGATTGGTTGGTTTGATAATGGGAAAAAATAGAAAAACATTAAGGATATAAAAATAAACGGTTTTAAAATTAGATTAAAATTAATTATATGTGTTTATTTAACCTTGCTTATAATTTTAAGATATATTTTAATAAATTATTTTTATTTGAATATTTAAATACTGTTTGGATATCGATCGCATTCTCTTTAATTATTTACATTTTTAATTTACTCTTCAAAAAATATTACACTTGCAACAACTATTGTTTGAGGTTGTGCTTTAAATAGGTTTTGATATGCTATCTATTTCTTAATATTGCTAAACATCACCCTTTGGGTTTGTATATAAACTCACATTTTATGCTTTTGAAGGACTTGCTTGTTAATCGAAGAATAGCTATGAGTCATTATCTATTGTTTTAAAGCTTACCATACTGCTTTAATCTATATTTCCATTTTCCTCTGGTACAGGAGCTTACAAATTATTTATTGTCTATTTTAAGGTATTTTAAGGTGGCCTATTTATTTTTCACATAAATTTTATTGCAAATACTTAGCTCTTTATATTTAATTTTCTTTACCAAAAGGTTGTTTTGTTAGGTAATGTGCCTCCGTACTTCTCTTCGAGCTAGTCAGCATCTATGTAATCAAGCATTATATGGAAATCTTTCTTTTTCAAGATATTAATTTTTGCAGAAGTCTCTGGGTGAATAAAATCTACAAATATATATTTTTTGAGTTAATTAATCAAAAAATGTATTTACTTTTTATCAATGACCAAGCTCCTGAAAAGAGGAATGACGGATTTGTTATAAACATTTTTTCAAGTGTGGAAGTAAAGTTTTTTGCCATAATTTAAACAATTTTATTTATTGTCTAGAACATAAATAAATTATTATTAAAAACAAACTGCATAAATTAAATTCAATTAAATTAAGTATTTACAGCTAATTCTAAATCAGTTACTCCTTTTTCATTCGTTTCCAATATTACAACCCAGCTCTCTACATATCCCTTTACGAATTCTATTTTTGAAACTTTAGTGAGCAAGTTGCAAATCGCTGAAAGGTAGATTTCAACTGGAGTCTTTAAATTTAAGTTAAAAAATAATCAGATATTTCTTTCTATTTTGCATATTTATATTTATATTTATTTACTTTTTTAGGATTTACTTTCCACATATTAAGTACTACTACTGGTCTAAACTATTTGTCTCTCCCTAAATGATAGAATACTCCTTCTTGCTGTTAATACAAAGAAAATAGATGAATAATTAAATCTTCTTTCTAGTGATGTATTTATTAGTAAATTATTCATTCTCAAAGGCAATAACTATTATTGAGATAAAGAAAAATAAACTCTCTACCAATATTTCTAATGCTTGTTTATTCATCTTGTGCATAATGGGATTTCTCCTCCATTCCAAGTGCATTTTGAGAGATTCTATGGATTTCTTCAAATCAAAACCACCTGAATAACAATACTTCAATGTCTATGCATCATCCCAACTAATTTATGTTTAAAATTTTAATGCTCAACTTTAAATAATCTTCTTTTCTAACTAATTTTTATACACCAATCATTTGATTGTATAATTTATTAAAGTGGATTATTTACTCTTCGGGTAATTCGATATTTTCGTTTTCTATTTGTTCCTTTAACTATTTTTAGTGTCTCTTTTCGAATTCTGAATACTCAACTCCGTAGAATATTCTTCTGTAGTGGCTATTTCCGTCCGTGTGGTAGCAGTAATAATCTAATTAATACAAAATCGTTAACATTTCTAATAGCTCACTCAGTCAAAACAAAAGGATATAATCAAATTAATATGTAAATAATCCTGTAAAATAATGCCCGATGAATCAGCTTTTATGTAATTTTTATTACCAGAATGCTTTACATTATAAACTTCTTCAGGCTGCTTTAAATAAGACAAGTCTTCTTCCTCAATAAACTCCCAAACAATCTCCTTTTTGGCCATCTCTTATTATATTTGTATATATCTATCTATCTATCTACGCTAAAAAGCTTTGGTATGTTTTATTTAACAATCTTTGAAGGAATTTTCAAAAGTAATTTAATATGTAATAATTAAATAAAAATTTATTTATCAAAAAGTTATAGCATTTGATTCTTGCTATTATCTAAATATATATTAACTCTTTATTAATTAATGTATGTATTCAGCTTTTAAAATTTTTCAAATAAGCAAAAAAAAACATTATTTTTTACTTTTTCATAGATTCCTTTATTCTTTCTAACAATTAATAAAGACCTCATCGCATGAATAGTAAAATTTACTTAACAATTGTGTTAATTATCACTTATAGCCAGTATTAAAATTTTCAGTTTTCTTGTTTGTTTAACGATTTTAAAAAATAAATTTGGCATGCATTCATAAATAAATAAATAATATTTTAAAATATCAATATGACCCTTTAAAAATATTATTAGTATTTTTGATATTTAAAAGCACTTCATGATTTACCTTAAAAATATTTTTGTTAGAAAAGTTTAATTTTTATTGTGGTTGGTAATTTCTTCATTTTAAATTCAATAATTAGTTATCAACTTAAATTATAAAAAAATATTATTTATTGAATGAAAAAAATATTTTAAATTTATATTTTTATTTTATTATTAAAAATTTTTAAATAAAAAAATAATTTGAATTGAAATAATTTTATTTATTCTCAAATAAAAATATTTGTTTATTTTTGGAAAAAATGAATTACGAAATTAAGATATATATATATCTGTTTAAAAACCATCCATATATTTTCAATGCCAAATATCTTGCTGGTTTCTAAATACCAATAAATTCAATTTGTAAATTAAAGGAAACCATTAAATTTTTGATCATTAATTTATTGCATACATATGCTGATCAAATTGATTTTAGGACCATAAGATTTTTTACAAAGTTATAATAAATATGTTTATGGATAAATTGAGTCAGTCAAACTTTTTTTTTGTATCTAATTTTTTGATGATCTTAGACAAATTATTAGTTAATTAGAACGATTCAGGCGCACACATTCATGCAGATCACAAATAAATAAATAGATAGATAGATGACTTGAATCTCTATTAATGAATGAATTAATCTATCTATTAAAATAGTAATAAAAAATAGATAGAATGAACATTTATAATTTAAATAATTCATATCAAATCAACAATTTGGTTGTAAATTAATATAAGTTAAAGGTACATAAGAAGAATTTCTTAACTAAACCAAAAATACAAGCAAATCAAATCTATTTACAAGTAAATATATATCAAAAATGGCTGAAAGATTAGTTATAAATTCAGACGCAGCTAAGCACGTTTAGGCATATTTAGAATATCAATAACTCGTAGGTGATTACCATAATAATGGTCAACTTATGTCAGAAAAAGAATTCGAAGAATTCAAAAAGAATTATCGCGAGAAAGCTAAGAATAGAATTTACTGCAGTTGGCGTAATGAAAGAGGTTAGGATTGTAAAATGGTCGGTCCTGCCACTAAATGCTTCTGCGATCACAGATTCAAAGATCATGAGTACTTAGATCCAAAGGACAAAACAAAAGTTCACTGCAAAGTACCAAAATGCAATTGCAAATGCTATTATTACATTCCTGCATATGGTTCTTATGATTTTAAATGTCTTTGCAAACACTCATACAGAGATCACGATAATATCAAGAAAATCTGTAACAATAAATGTGGTTGTTCAGGTAACTATTTATTATTAATAATTCATTCAAAAAATCTTCAAAACTCTGTGTTTAACTTCTTTTCTATACAATTATATTTTAGGATTCTCCAGTACTTGGAGTTGTTCATGCGGATCTAAATTTGCTGGACACACTACAGTAATGGAAACCAGAGAAGATAGAATTCGTTTAGGAAAACCTGTTGATGATATGGATCGTCTCACTGACGAATTGAATGTACCTGTCAATATGGGAGGTTTAACAAGCTTCTAAGTAAATTTTTATTTTTGATATAATTGCATTAAAATGGAAAAAAAAAAATTGAATCAAAAACATTTTATTTAATTAAAATTCAGCAATTAGTAACTGGTGGCGATAGATATGAATAAATGATTGACAAAATGGGATAAAATGCAATTACTGGGCCTCCTTAACAAGGAATGTTAACTGGTCCTCCTGGTCATTAAAGAACTGGAAGCAATAAATTAATGTTAGGAAATGGATAATAATAATAACAAGGAAATAATCAAATGTAACTTTATGGAAATTAATAGTAAGAAGTTAGTGCGCTTTCTCTTTTCAATACTCCTCATCAATTCGCAAGAGCAAAAACTATGCCAGTAAGACCAGCTATAAAGCGTTGATAAAAAGAAGCACGAAAATAAAAAAATTATATAATACTTTAAAATATCTACCTATATATTGAAAACTTTATACATATATATTACATCTTGTAATTTTTAATTTTAAGTAAAATTATAATTATTTTATTCAATTATATAATTAATTTTAATTCTTCAATTTTTAAATAACCAGCCAAGACTACATTTTTTAAAAAACAATTTAATTAAAAATGTTTTTATATCTTTTAAATAATTTATGTAAAATATATATCAAATATCAAAATCACAAAAAAAATTAAGTAAATTTTAAATATCAAATAGCAAATTTACAATACAAACTGCTTACTTGAACATTTATCAGCTAATATAAAATGAAAATTAATATTTTTTTTAGTAATTAACAAATTTAATTGAAATTAACAAATTATCAAGAGTTTTGAGAATTGCTTTAAAAAGTATTGAATTCAAATACAACAAAAATTTACTAGAATTTATATAACACTAATAGAAAAATGTTATATTGTTTAATGAATAACTAATTATATATGTATGCTTTAATAAAATTTAAAACATATTTTACTAATTTAATTTTTATTTTAAAATAATAAAATTGTTTGGTTATATAATAAATATATAAATACATTTCATTTTTTTAGAGGAAATTAAAATAATTTATGAGTTATTAAAAAAAGTATTTTAAAATTAATAATAATAAAATTTATTCTTTAAATTTAACATTAAAAAAATAAATAAAAGCTTAAATTATTATTTTGAATATTTTTTTATTATTAAAAATATTTATTGAATTTTATGAATTATTAAAATTATTTATAATATTAATAAATTTTTTTCAAAATTAATTAAAAAACAATTTATATTTTAATCTATTTTATAACAAAATTATGGCATCTAAATCTAAAAATTATAAAATCTACAGTAAATATTTAATAAATAATATTTTTTATAAACTTTTCTACACTATTTTATCTAATAATCAATATAAATTATTAATTTAGTTTTAAAAAAATAAAAATATTATAATCTTATTAAGCAAAATAAATAACTAATAGCAAATTTAATTCTTTGTTTTTCTTTTAAGCTTAAAAAATAATAAAAACTACTTTATTACTAAATTTAAAGAATTTTAGAAGTTAGTAATTCTTCTTTATAAGTGTAAAAAGCAAATATAAGTAAATTTTCTTGTTTTAAATTATAAATAGATATTTAAAAATGGTTGAAAATTAAGTAGATTTTATTTACTTTAAATTTAATCGTGGCCATAATTATTTGAGAAGCTAAAATGATTATTTTTTGTTTAAAAAAATATATTTCTAAAAAAGTATTAAATTCTCAATTTATTTAACTAGTCAGAAAAATTTTTATAATTATAGCATCTATTTCTGATCATTTAGATATTTTTATTTAATCCTAATTAATTCTAAGAAAAGTAAGAAATAAGAATTATTTATTACAAGTCAGAGGCTTAAAGGCTAAATTAGAAAATTAAATGTAGACAATTCCTCCTTCGATAAATATACATAATATTAGCAACATTTTGCTAGGTATATATAAAAAAATTAACATAGCTTTAATTTAAATGTATTTACTTCTTAAATTGGGTACTTTAAGTGTGATAAATGTTTCTATTAATTAAATTAACCTTAAGCTTTAAAAAATTTTGATCGTATTTAATTAATTAATATCAGCTTTAAATTACATAAACTTTTACACATTAAATTTTTTCTTTCTTTAATAATTAAGTATTTCCTACTTAATTAATTACTATTGAAATAAAATGTGTCATTTGATTTTTACTTAATTCAAAAAAATGAATTATCTATAAATTTAAAGAAAGTCTTTCTATTTACTTAATAAAAAACCATTTAAATGGGGCATTCTTTTAATTAAAAAGACAATTTGATCTTTTAATTAATTCTATTTTTTTATTTATTTTATCTACTATATTACTTCTTTATAACATGATACTTACTTACTTACTAATTATTGTATTTTAAAAGCTTAATAATAGACAAAAATATTTGAAACAACTAGGTAAAGAGTGTCTAACATATGAGGGTTTACATTGAAAAATAAAAATTTATTTTTGGCTATCAGATTTATCAATTTTTATTTTATTTTTCTCAAAGAAAATTAGTAATAAGAATTTTTAGTTTGAATTCATCGGTAAAATAAATAAAAAGTATAAGCTTTTATCTTTCTCAATTAATTAACAAAATTATTATATTTAAATAAATGTAAATTGTTAATTTAAATACTTAAACCCAAATCCCCAAGTATAATAAATATGATATCAATTAATAACTCTAAATAAATATTTTAAAGCTAAGATTAAAATAAGTGTTAGATAAGTAAGTACTTAAAAAAAATATAAAATGTATCCCTAATAACCTTATCAGTAATACCCTTAACAACCTCAAGTGTATCCTCAACAGCCTCAAGGATATCCTCCACAATAGCCTTAGATGTACCCCTAGTAGCCCCAAATGCATCCTTAGTAGTACCCTTAACAAGGACCTTACTAATAATATCCTTAACAACCTCAAATGCATCCCTAATAGCCCTATCCCTAACAATAATATCCTTAGTAGCCATAAACATGCCATTAATAAAATAATAGCTGCTAACGTCCTAAATACAATAAATATCAGAACTAACCTCCTACAGAAGAATAGCTAAAAAGAGACCAAGAAATGCTTGAAAAAGGTTAAAACATGATGTCAAAAGGAGTGGATAGTATGAATGCAGCTATGGATAAATTTATGAATTTTAATAGCAATGCTACTCAATAGTAAGTAGGAGGCATGCCTGGAGGTATGTAAGGAGGAATGTTCGGAATGGGTGGCATGTAAGGAGGAATGTTCGGAATGGGTGGCATGTAAGGAGGAATGTTTGGAATGGGTGGCATGTAAGGTGGAATGTTTGCAAATAAGAACAACTAAAGTGAAGCTTCCAATAATAATAGTTTAAGCTAAAGCTCTTATAACTCAAAAAATCCTTACACTAACAGTTTACCAACTGCAACAAACAGAAGTGAAGTAAAAGGAAAAGATGATCACGAAAACTCAACATTTTTTGATCACCTGTAATAGTAGGGTGTTAAGAGTACTCCTGTTTATCCTCATTTGAATAGCATTAAGATTTATCACACTGATAACATGATAGTGGGTATTGAATGCACATACAAATTTAAGGGTGAGAATTCTATTGTAGGACCATTTGTTAGTAAAGGTACTTTTAATGGAGATGTATAAACAAAAGAATTTTAGTTGTAATACGGAGAAAGCATTTCTGAAATTTCAGGTAGATGTGGTGACTCTATTGACCGTTTGATGATTAAGACAGACAAAGGAAACTGTATTGAAGTTGGAGGAAATGGTGGCTCTCCTTTCTCAAATATAGTAAAATCTGTTTATAATCCTCTTATTGGATTTGGTGGATCTACTCGTGAATTCTTAGATTCACTATACATTGTTTATCTTTGATTTTTCAAAAAAGGATCATTAAATAATTTATTTAATTTTATTATTTAAGAATATTTTTATTTTACTCGTTTTGTTTTTTGGATTTTCAAATTTAAATTTATCAATTCTAAAAACCAAAAATTTTTTCTAAATTTCAGCTTTCGTATTCAATTTAATATTTTGATAAAGTGAAAATATATATATTTTCCTTTAAATATTAAGTTTAAATTAAATTATTGTCATTATAGATTAAATAAATATTTTTATGTATTATTTTTTAAAAATTTAGATAAATGCAAAGCAACTTTATAATATTTTAATTAATATAGTTAAACTTGAATAATTAATGTCTACATTAAATTTGTTGACAAATTCTATAAATAAATAAATTAAAAAAATAGTTAAATACTTCAAAATTAGTTTTAAATATTATTATTATTATGTATTTATGTTTCTGGATTAATAATTTTATTTAATTATTTATTTAAATTTTAATCCTTTTTTCAGTAATAAGATCAGGTCGTTTTAGGTAGAATTTAAGAGCATACTTATTAATAGGTGTAGATATTTGCATCTTAACACAAATTTTAAATTAAAAAATTAAATAATTAAAATTTTTTATTTCAGAATTTTGTCAAAACTCTTGATTTTTGAGTACGAAAATTTTTCAAAAAAAAGACACGTTATATAAATGAATGCATGATTTATATTATTTCAAATTTTACATTGTGAATTTACAGATTTTTAAAAACTCAAAAATAATGCTATTTTAAGCTTTATTTGATAAATAATTAAGATATATTTTTTTTTCGCCTTTTGTAAATTAAATAGGCATTTCACTGTATTTTAAAGATAACTAATCTTTTTGATTTAAGACACTTGCTTTTTACTTTCAATTTTTATGATCCATTGATTTAATTATAACTTTTATTTTTCAATTAAAATAAAATACTAAAAAAAATTAAATAGAATAAAATTTTTTAAATAAAAATTATATTTTAAATTAATAAAAAAAAACATTAACAGAATAAAAAAGAAAAAGAAAAAAACATATTGAAAAATTAAAAGAGCTATCTTTTTTAAATTTAATTTTATAAAATATCGCAATCCAAAACAAATAAACAGTTTTTACGTAAGATCAAGTGTCAAATTTGAGAGATCAGTGCAATTTGATAAAGCAGAACTTAAATCTGATGCACCAATCACACTAATTTAATTCCAACTTTTTAAATATTGAAGAAAAAATATATAATTAGTTATTTATTTAGAAGGAAAAAATAAAGAAAAAATATGAAATAAGAAATGAATTAAATAATAATAAAAACAAATGTTGAAAATAAAAAAAATTAGTTAAATTAAGAAAGGTAAAAGAAAAAAAAACACAAATACTATCAAAATGAAAAGTAAATCAAATAAAAAACTAATAAACAAATTAAAAGAGTTATCTTTTTTTAAATTTAATTCTATAAAATATCACAATCTAAACAAATAAACTATTTTTACCTAAGATCAAGTGTCAAATTTGAGAGATTAGTGCAATTTGCTAAAGCAGAACCTAAACCTGATGTACCTTAATCACCAATTTAATTCCAACTTTTTAAATATTGAACAAAAAATAAATAATTAATTAGTTTTTTAAAAGGAAAAAATGAAGAAAAAATATGAGATAATAAGAAATGAATTAATATATAATAAAACCAAATGTTGAAAATTAAAAAATGAGTTAAATTAAGAAAGATAGAAGAAAAAAACACACTAATACAATCAAAAAGAAAAAGAAAAGTAAATCAAATAAAAAGCTAATAAACAAATTAAAAAAGTTGTCTTTTTTTCAATTCATTTTTAAAAGTAAAAATATCACAATCCTAAACAAATAAAAGGGTATTAAGTGTCAAATTTGAGAGATTAGTGCAATTTGCTAAAGCAGAACCTAAGTCTGATGTACCTTAATCATCAATTTCATTGTGACTTTTTGAATATTGAAGAAAAAATAAATAGTTAATTAGTTATTTTGAAGGAAAAATTGAAGAAAAATTATTAAATAATAAGAGATGAATCAATAAATTATTAAAGTAAATGTTGAAAATAAAAAAAATGAATTAAATTAAGAAAGATAGAAGACAAGTACAAAAAAAAAACAAAAGAAAAGTAAAAAGAATAAAAAATAAGCAAATGAATTTGATGACTTAGATGACATTGATGACTTTGACAACAGAAAATAAAAATGTGAATTTTAATTTAGTATGAAAAATAATAATAAAAATAAAATAAATTAAAATATATATAAACACACTAAAAAATTTAATTTTAAGTTGTATTCTGAGTGCATTTATATGTGCGAGTATTTCTATTCTATTCTGTACCAATTTAATTATTACTTTTTAATTATTGAAGAAATAATATAGATTTATTAGTTATTTAGAAGGAAAAAATGAAGAAAAATACAAAATAATAAGAAATTAATTATATAAATAAATAAAAAAAGTAAATCTTGAAAATTAACAAATTAGTTAAATAGATGAAGAAATAACACAAGTACAATCAAAAAGAAAAGAAAATTAAACCAAATTAAAAATTACTAAACAAATTAAAAGAGTTATCTCTCATTTCAAATCATTTTTAAAAGTATAAATATCACAATTCTAAACAAATATACTGGTTTTACCTAAGTTTTAGTGTCAAATTTGAGAGATTACTGAAATTTGCTAAAGCAAAACCTAAGTCTGATGCACCAATTACACCAATTTAATTCCAACTTTTTAAATATTGAAGAAAAAATATATCATTAATTAATTAGTTATTTAAAAGGAAAAAATGAAGAAAAAAAAATGTGAAAAAATAAGTAATCAATTATTAAAATAAAAAAATCAGTTAAATTAAGAAAGATAGATGAAAAAAAAAGCACAAGTACAATCAAAAAGAAAAATAAAACTAAATAAAATTAAAGCTAATTAACAAATTAAACAATCCAAAACAAATAAACTGTTTTTACCTAAGATTAAGTGCCAAATTTGAGAAATTAGTGCAATTTGCTAAAGCAGAACTTAAGCCTGATACACCTTAATCACCAATTTAATTCTCACTTTTTAAATATTGAAGAAATAATATATAATTAATTAATTAGTTATTTAGAAGGAAAAAATGAAGAAAAAATATTTATAATAAGAAATGAATTATATTATTAAATAATTTAAGCGGATGTAGAAAATAAAAAAATGAGTTAAATTAAGAAAGATAAAAGAGAAAAAAAAACACAAGTACAATTAAAAAGAAAAAGAATAGCAACTCAAATAAAAAGCTAATCAACAAAGTAAAAGAATTATCTTGCTTTCAATTGATTTTTCAAAAGTAAAAATATCACAATCAATAACAAATAAACTGTTTTTACCAAAGATTAAGTGTTAAATTTGAGAGATTAGTGCAATTTGCTAAAGCAGAGCCTAAGTCTGATGCACCAATTGCACCAATTTAATTCCTACTTTTTAAATAAGGAAGAAAAAATATGAAATAGTAGGAAATGAATTAATAAATAATAAAAGCAAATATTGAAAATAAAAAAAATTAGTTAAATTAAGAAAGATAGATGAAAAAAAAAACAAAACATAAATAAATACAATCAAAAAGAAAAGCAAAAGTTAATCAAATAAAAAGCTAATAAATATACAAATTAAAAGGGTTTTCTTGTTTTCAATTCATTTTTAAAGTAAAAATATCGCAATCTAAAACAAATAAACTATTTTTACTTAATATCAAGGGTCAAATTTGAGAGATTAGTGCAATTTGCTAAAGCAGAACCTAAACCTGATGCATCTTAATCACCAATTTAATTCTCACTTTTTAAATATTGAAGAAAAATTATATAATTAATTAATTAGTTATTTAGAAGGAAAAAATGAAGAAAAAATATAAAATAATAAGAAATAAATTATAATAATAAAAACAAATATAGAAAATAAAAAAATCAGTTAAATTAACAAAGATAGAAGAAGAAAAAAACATAAGTACAATCAAAATAAAAAACAAAAATTAATCAAATAAAAAACTAATAAACAAATTAAAAGAGTTATCTTGCTTTCAATTAATTTTTAAAAAGTAAAAATATCACAATCAAAAAAAAAAAAAACTATTTTATCAAGTAAAAGTTTTAGAAGGTAAAAAATGAAAAAAAATATCAAATAATAAAAAATAGATAATTAATTTTAAAAATTTTAATTGAATATTAAGTTAAATTAATTAAAAAAACATTTGTCTAAATAAATTGAATAAATATTGGGATAATTTCATTTATAAAATTAAATAAACTGAAAGTTAAATATATAAAAAATAGTAATAATAATAATAATAATAAATTAAATATACCTCAGATCAATATGAAGAACCAAATGAGATGAGAGTGAAGAGTTTATAAACTTTTTATATTAATAAAAATAAATTTAAAGTATATTGATAAAAACTAAATAATTACTTCTTCTAAGTTTTTGTAATATTTAATCTGTTATATCATTTATTTTTTTAATAGCAATTTATGGAAATTAAATTAATTATAACTTGATAAAAAGAACAAATAAATTATATAAATTTATAAATTCATTTTTAGTAAGAGAAATCAAAAAAGTTAACATAATATTCATTATTAAATCTTAATATTTCTATTTAAAATGTTTTCTTAAAAATACAGAAATAAAGATTGGATAATGAGAATGCGAACTCATTAGAAAAAAAAATAAATTTTTGACATATTTACACATATATATAAAAAAATTCTCAAACTTTAATTGAAATATGAATATTACGAAGAGTAATATTTATGTTATATTGTCTTTTTATATACCTGAGTTTTTTATTTTTTAGAAATATTAAATGTAGCTTTCATTATTATACGTTTTTGTAAGAAGAATATTAAGATGCAGCTTACAAGATTTCTATAAAATGGTTTTAAAATTTAAAAAAATTTAATTAAATATACACTAACAACTTAATATGCTGAATCAATATTTATTGTTTTTTATTAATTAATTTAGTTGGTATATTTAATTTAACAATATGTAGATAAATGTAACAATAAAAAACTTAAAATATAATATTTAACTGATAAAATATTCTATTTGAATTAATATTTTAGATAAACAAACTTCTATTTCAAATTTAAGATTTAGCCTATTTTAGTAGCTCTATAGTTTCTTAATCTTCTTCATCAGTTAATAAAGAAATTTTTAGGTACTTTATTTGTTTTTCTAACATTTAATTATCTTAATGAATCATTGCTATATTAAAATATGCATCTACATATTTTAGATCTATTTATATAGCCTTTTTGTAGGACAGTAAAGCCTTACGATCAAATCCTTTGTCTTCATAGGCCAAACCCAAATTATAAAATCCATAAAGATAATTTGGATCTATTTCTGTACATTTTTAATAATAAGAAATTGATTCATTTAGCTATTTTTTATCTAAATAAATATTGCCTAACTTATTGTATGCATTAATAAATTTAGGGTTAATTTCAATAACTTTTTTGTAATTTTCTATAGCTTAATCAAGCATACCTTTTTCTTCATATATTAAACCTAGCTTATCATAGGCTTCAAAAAAGTTAGGGTCTATTTCAATTGCTTTATTTAAACACTTAATTGATTAATCCTTCATTTTTTTTGAATAGAAAGTGTACCCTTATTTATAAAAATCATAAGCACTTTAAGTGTTTTTTTCCATTTTTTACAAAAAGTTATCAACGTCAAATTCGTCTTTAATTATTCCAGTTTTTAAGAACAATTTCATCATTCTATCAAGTGTTTACTTATCATTTGGGTTTATATCAAGGGCTTTTTAGTAGCATTCTAAAGCCTTATCATTTTAATTTTTGGTTTCATAAACAAGACCAGAATTATAGAGTGATAGCAAGTATTTAGGATTTATTTCTAGTGCTTTTTGATAATATTCAAGGGCTAGATCATCCTTTTTCTGATTATAATAGACGAGTCCGATATTATTATAAGCGACTACTTGTTTTGTATCTATTTCAAGTATTTTTTAGAAGACTTCAAGAGCTTTGTCATACATGATTAACTTTAAGTAGACATTTCCTAATTTAACATAAGCATTTACATGCTTAGAATCAAGTTCTATTGCTTTTGAAAAAAGAACTATTGCTTCATTAAGCATATTTTTGTCTTAGTAAGCTAATCCTAATCTATAATTAGTCTCAGAACAATCTTTATTCTTTTCAAGTATTTTTTAATGGAATTAAGCAGCTTCATTTATTTTTATTAAATCTAAATATATCACCATTAAATTGTAAATTGATTCAAAACCTTTTGAGTTTATTTCAATTGCCTTTTCATAATTTTAAATTGCATCTTCAAACATTTCTTTTTGTTTGTAAATTAATCCAAGTTTATCATATGCATCGTAGTAATTTGGATCTATTTCTATTGCTTTCTTCAAAAGTTCAATCGACTACTCAACTTTCTTAATAGTTAAGTATAAAAAGGCTTATTCTAAATGATCTTTTGCAGTAACAGGAACTTTTTGAAGCTTTTCTTCAAGATCTTTCTCACTTAATTTTAAATTTACGTTCTTTTCGTTAATTTTCTCGATCCTAGTGAGAGTTTTTTTATCAGTAGGATTTATAGCTAAAACTTTCTTATAGCATTCAAGGGCTTTGTCATTTTAATTTTTTTATTCATAAATTAGCCCTGAATTATAAATAGATAATTCATATTTGGGATTGACTTCAAGAGCTTTGTTGTAATATTCAAGAGCTAGGTCATCCATATTCTAATTATAATGAACTAATCCTATGTTATTATATGCTACTGCTTTTTTGGGGTCTATTTCTAATACTTTTTTGTAGCATTCAAGAGCTTTGTCGTACATTACTTTACCTAAATAAGAGTTACCTAACTCAATATAAGCACTGGTTGATTATGGGTTAAGCTCAATAGCTTTTTAGTAGCAAGCTATTGCTTCATCAACCATCTTTTGATCTTAATAAACAGTTCCTAATTCTTACTATGTTTAAGCACAATCTGGGTTCATTTCATTTATCATTTTGTGATATTCTTTAGCTTCATCTATTTTTTTTTATTCTAAGTAAATTCTCATGATGCTGCTTATAGAATTGAAGCACTTTGGATTAATTTTAATAGCTTCTTTAAAATACTCTAATGCTTCTTCATACATTTTTTTTTGCTAATAAACAAACCCTAATTTGTCATAGGCTTCAAAATAAAGTGGGTCTAATTCTACTGATTTTTTAAGACATTCTATAGACTTATCATCCTACATTTAAACATAATATAGGAACCCTTACTTATAGTAGTCTTTCGCAGTTTAAGGATTATTCTCAATTGATTGTTAAATTTTTGAGTCGAAATTCTCATTTAATGAATTTATTTTTTGTATTCTTAAGAGTGATTTTTTCTCATTTGGATTTATTTATTGAACTTTATTGTAATACTTAAGTGCTTCTTCATTTTAGTTCTTCTGCTCATAAGCAAGTCCTGAATTATAGATCGAGAGCTCATAATTAGGATCTATTTCTAGAGCTTTTTTGTAATATTCAAGTGCTTAATCACTATTTTTTAAGTTATAGTAAACCAGTCCTATGTTATTATAAGCTACTATTTCTTTAGGATTTATTTCTAATGCTCTTTTATAGCATTCAAGTGCTTAATCATTATCATGTTTATCTAAATAAATATTGCCTAGTTCTATATGAGCATCAATGTATTAAGGGTCTATTTTAAGTATTTTTTAATAGCATTCAAAAGCTTCGTCAATCATATTCTAATCTTAATAAACTTCTCCAAGCTCGTACAGAGTTTCAGTGCAATTCGGGTTCAAATCTACTATTTTTTAATGAAATTCTTTTGCTTCTTCAATTCTATTTTAATCAAAATAGATGTTCATTATACTAGGAATGATATCAAAAAATTTTGGATTAATTTCGAGTGCTTTTAAATAGTTCTAAATTGCCTCATCAAACATACCTTTTTCACCATAAATAAGACCTAATTTATCATAGGCTTCATAATAATTTGGATCTATTTCGATAGCCTTTTACAAGCATTAAATAGATTTTTCATCTTCCATTTAAGCATAGAAATCATATCCTTTAGAGTAATATTCCTTTGCACTTGAAAGAGTATTTTGGACTTCTTTTTTTGATGTTTCTTCAGGCTTTTCGCTATTTATATTTCCAATTTTTTCATTTATTTTTTCTACTCTCAAGAGGGATTTCTTTTCTGTTGGGTTTATTTTAAGAACCTTATTGTAATACTCAAGGGCTTTTTCATATTGATTCTAGATTTCATACACAAGGCCAGTGTTGTAAATAGATTACTAAAATGTAGGATTTATTTCAAGAGCTTTGTTGTAGTATTCAAGTGCTTTCTCATTCATTTTCTAATCATAATAAGCAAGTCCTATATTATTTAAAGCTACAACCTCTTTAGGATCTAATTCAATTACTTTGTTAAAATATTCAATTGCTTATTGGTATTCTTTTTTATCCAAATAGATACAGCCCAATTCAATGTGAGAATCAATATGTTTAGGATCTATTTAGATAACTTTTTTATAACAAGCAATAGCATCTTCATACTTTGATGAATCTTCTTAATAGGCTTCTCCAAGTTAATAAAATATTTCAGCATTATTAGGATTTTCTTCAAGCATTTTATTATGGAACTCTTTAGCTTCGCTGACCATTTTTCTATCTAAGTAAATTCTCATTATTTTTTTTATTGCATCAGTGAATTTTGGATTTAATTCAAAAGCCTTTTAGTAGTTTTCAATTGACAAGTCAAACATTTTTTTTTCTTTAAAAATAAATGCTAATTTTTCGTAAGCTTCAAAATACTTGGGATCTATTTCTATCACCTTTTTAAGGCAATCAATAGCTTTTTTATTATTTTGTTATGATTAATAAAATTGCCCTAATTCAAAGTAACTTTTTGCGCTTTCAGGGTTCTTGATAATTTCTTACAAATACTATTCTAGTTTTTCATTTTTGCTATCGATTTTTTACTCGATCTTTTCAATCTTTTCAAGTGATTTCTTATCAGCAGGGTTGATAGATATTACCTTTTTGTAACATTCAAGTGCTTTTTCACTTTAACCTTTTTACTCATAAATGAGTCCGGAATTATATATTGATAATATATAGTTAGGATTTATTTCAAGAGCTTTTTTGAAGTACTCAAGTGCTTAGTCATCCTTTTTTTGAGCATAAAAAATAGCTCCAACTCCATTATATGCATCATACTTTTTTGGCTCTATTTCTATTGTCTTATAGAAGCATTCAAGAGCTTTATCTGTTAAATTTTTATGAAGGTACTTGTTACCTAATTCTAAATAAGCATCTGCATGTTGAGGATCTAATTAAATCACTTTTTAATAGTAGTCGATAGCTTCATCAACCCTATTGGTATTTTAATATATAATTGCTAAATAGTAGTAAGCTTAAACATATTCTGGATTTAATTCTATAGCCTTTATGTAGCATCCAATTACTTCCTCAATTAAATTCATCTTATCAACATTTTCTAAATTAGATATTTCTTCTAACTTCTCCATGCTAAAATCCTTAACTTTATTATAGTTCTCTAAAGCCTCTTCATACATTTTTTTCTCTCCATAAACATTTCCTAATCTTATAAAGACTGTAAAGTATTTTGGAAAGATTTCTTCCACTTTTTTGTAAAATTCAATGGCTTCATCAAACATGTTTTTCATTTAATAAGCAACTCCGATATTATAGTTAGCCAAAAATGACTTTGGATCTATTTATATTACTCTTTTATAGATTTCAATAGCCTAGTCATGCATATTAGATTTATAATAAGCATAACCTAAATTGTTCAAAATTTTAAGACTATTTTCATTGACTTAAAGAGCACTTTAATAGCATTCTATTGCCTTATCATACATTTTTTATTAAGAATAAAGATAGCCCATGTTAGTGCTTGCATTTAAATACTATGGATTAATTTCTAAAACCTTTTTGTAACACTCAATAGCTTCATCAACCATTTTTTTAGAAGCATAAGAAATTCCGCAATTATAGTAAGCTAAATGATAATTTGGATCAATTTCAATAGCCTTTTTATAGCATTCGATAGCTTAATCAAACATTTATTAATATTCGTAAGCAAGACCTAAATTATTAAGTGCCTTTATATATTATGGATTTATTTCCAATGTCTTTTTATAACACTTAATTGCTTCTTCATATATTTTCTTTGTCAAATACAATTCTCCTAAACTAAAGAAATCATATTCGCTGTTTGGGCTTAATTAAACTATTTTTTTAAAACACTCAATTCCTTCATCTATCATTTCTCTTTCAACGCAAATATCACCTAGCCTAATTAAAGCCTTGAGAAATTTAGGATTTATTTTAATTGCTTTTTTATAGCTCTCAATAGCCTCTTCTATCAAATTATCTTTTTCATAAGCAAGTCCAGAGTTGTAGTGAGCTTTATAGTAATCTGGATTTAACTCAAGCGCCTTTTAGTAATATTAAATTGCTTCATTATTCATATCTAAACCGAAGTAAACTAGACCTAAGTTATTGTAAGCATCCACATATTTTGGATCTAATTCTATAGCCTTTTTATAGCATAATAGCGAGTCGTTATACTTTCCTTAGTAGTAATATAATAAACCTAAGTTATATTAAGCATTAAAGTATTTGGGGTCTAATTCAATTGCTTTTTTATAATTTTTTATAGCCTCTTCATACTTTTTTCTATTTTAAAAAACAAATCCTAGTCTTTCATAGGCTTAAACAAAGTTTGGATCTATTTCAATAGCTTTTCTTAGCTATTTAATTGCTTCTTGATCTAATTACTTCAGAAAATAAATGTATGCTAAGCTTATGTAAACGCTTAAAAAATTAGGATTCTTTTCTAATGCAATCTTGTATGAGATAAGAGCTGAATCAAACATACTTTATTTTTCATAAATAAATCCTAGTCTTTCATGGGCTTCTGCGGAGTTTGGATCTATTTCCAATGCTGTTTTGAGCATTCTTATTGCTTCTTCTGTCATTGAATCGCAAAAATAATTACGAGCTAAACTAATGTAAGCTTTTATAAATTAAGGATCGATGGTAAGAATTTTTTTATACCACGCATAAGCTTCATCTATTTGCCCTTTGATTTCATATGTTAATGCTAATTCATGAAATGCTTCCATATTTTTTGGTTCTATTTCTATGATTTTTTTATAACACTCTGTTATCTAATCTAATTTATTTTATTTCTTATAAGCTTATGCTAACTTTTAATAAGCTTAAACAAAATTAGGATCTATTTCAATAGCCTATTTGAGGCTAATTATTGCTTCATCTATATTACTCTTCTTTAAATGGATATCAGCTTTGCTAGCATACGCTTTAAGATAGTTAGGATTTATAGAGAGTACCTTATTAAAGGACTCAAGAGAATCATCAACTAAATTTTTTAATTCAAAACAGCATCCTAAACTGTAATACGCCTCTGCATTATTTGAGTCAATTTCTATCACCTTATTGAAGCATTCAATAGCTTCATCAATCATTTTTTTACCTTCGAATTCAAGCCCCTACTTATAAAGAGTCTCGATGTCGTTTATATTCGATGTGAACATTTTAAAATATAGATTTCTTCCTAATACTTTTAATAAAATATACAAAAGAATTTGGTTTTCCTAATTATTATTAAAACTAAAAGGAAAGGATTTATATTTTTAATTTTTGTGTCAGATTTCTATCTGATAATCAGAGTTATAGTGGCTAGTAACATTAAACATCATATTAAAGCAGAATTTTCAAAAGATATCTTTAAGAATACATAATTTCATTTGCTTTGATCAATTGATTTCAAATATGTGAAATTAATAACAATAAATTATCACATATCAAAAATCTTTGTTTGATTTTTTTTGATGCTAATATTTTTATTTTTATGTTCTTCTTTGAAAATAAATATTGTAAAAAAGCTATTTAATTGTTAAATCATAGATATATAATAATATATTTTTCCTCATATTTTAAAGAATGAAGATCCATTAAAATATAATTAAACTTGCATATATAAGTTTAATGTTATTGAAACAGCATGTTAAGGAAAAAAGGTATTTTATGAAAAATATGTGAATGGGTTAGAGTATTTAATGGAAGATAATAGAAAATTCAAAAAAAAATTAAAATAAAAGAAACTTTTTCTAAAAGTGAAAATAATGAAAAAAAAATAATTGAACCAAAGTAAGAGAAATAATTTCTATAAAAAAGCACTGAAAAACAATAAAAAATTTAAATACTATTATTTTAAACTCATAATTATAAGTTTTTCTCACTTCTAATAATTTTCTTAGTCATAATAATAAAATTAAGAAAATTCGAGAAAAATAAATAAATAGAGTTAAAATAAAATTTTATGTAATTTAATAAACACAAATTCAATTTAAATATAAAAATAAACACATCCAAATCTTATTATAATCATTTTACTATGATTGTATTCAATTTATTAAAGAAAATAATAAATTGGCATGAATAACCCATATATTCAAGAGAGAAGGTAAATAAATTCAACATTTATCTGATGTAAATGGGCTGCTCTAAGAATTTGATTTGGATTTATTTTTGTAAAATTATTTTATTTATTACAAACAAATTTATTTGATTCTCTTCATCTTAGTTATACCCTTAATATTTTTCATCCAATTTTTTTATAAATATTAGGGTAGGATTTATTATTTGACTTTAAATTTAGTAATTAGATATTTTATTGATTTTAGTTTAATTTAATTGATTTATATTCAAATAAATATCAATAAATAGACCGACCTAAAGGTGATTTATATAAAAATTATAAAAAGTAAATTTTTAAATAAATAAATAATAAAATTGTAAGACTGGTTTAGTTTTAGAAATACATGTATTATTCTATTTATAATATTGATAAAATTTTTTATTCCTGTTTATTCAAAAACTTTTACAATATTATATGAAAAATAAAGCCACACCACAATTTTATCAGTCAATTAATAAATTTAGTGAAATAATAAAAAAAAATGTTTTATTTTAAACTAATTTTTCATTTTTTATTAAATATTGTATAAAAATTGATAATAAATTATTTTCTTAATCAAATACGTAAAGAATAATAAACTAACTTCTTAATTTTGCGAAGTTTTCTTCTTAATATTTTCTACTAAATTACGTCAATTTTATTGAATCTATTTAATAATTAAATTTTTAATAAGATCAAAAAAAAAAGTAAAAATAAATTATTCTTTTTTTTATTTAATTTTTTAATTCTTAAATATGATATTTAATAATTGAAATATTTTATCCAAACATAATATAATGAGTAAAAAATTATTATTTTTAATTACTCGAGATTAAGTTTCAAAATTTACAACTTTGAGCACTTTAATAAAGCAGAAACTAAATTTTATGCACCTTATGCTTCAATTTTACATAGACTATTCAAATATATTAAAAAAAAATTTAATAAAAGAATGGTTTAAATGAGAGAAAAATTTTAATATTAATAATAATAATATCAAGATAATGATTATCATTGATTTTTGAGGATATAAGTGTTAAATAAAACTTTAGAAAAAATAATTAATAATTTTTAAATAAGATATTTACTCCAAATAAAGCGTTAAATTGGAGATATTAGCATATTTTTATAGAGCTTAACCTAAATTAATTGCTCCTTAAAGCCCAATATTATTCGCACTTTTAATTATTTTTATAAATTAATTTTTACGCATAAAAAAAAAGTAATTTTAATAAAGTTATTTAAAAAAAATAAAATGAATTTGCATTGAAATGAAAAAGAAAAAAAAACTAAAGTTATGATTTAAAAAATAAAAATATTTCACCATAATGAAAAAGTGAACATATCTAGTTTACTGCATTTAGATATAGGAAGGACTAATCCTTATACTCCATTAGCTGTAATTTTGTTGGAGCTTTAAAAATATTAGAAATTAAATAAAAGTTAATATAAATAAACATTTTTATTTAAATGAGAAGCTAAAATAACTTCAATTTTTTTACCCAAGCCATAATATTAAAGTTTAGAGATTTGAGCAATTTTATAATGAAACACCTAAATCAATTGCAGACTAATCATCTATGTTATTGTTACTAAAATTAAAAATATAAATTCAGTAATCATATTTTTACTTTAGTTTGAGTAATAATTAAAAAGTAAGTTTGATAAAACATAAAAATTTTGTTTTTGTTGAAATAATTAATTAATACATAATAAAAAATGAAAAAATTACCTTAAATTTAGGGTTAAGGTTGAAAGATAAGTGAGTTTTGTTAAACTGAGGCTTAAACCT